AATTTCTTTTCGACTGAAGAAAAAAAGACATGGACATCTTGGATGACATGGAGGTGAGTAAATTACCAGCAAAAGTTTTTTTTTTTTAAAGTGTACTACTCCTTTAAAATAATGTTGGCCACTTTTTACTGGCAACATCAGGCATTTGGCATTATCAGGACCCACAAATATTCCCCCATTGCATCATACATTATAATCAACATTATATATAGCACTGACACTAAAACTCGAATTCCTCACACAGAAATGTTCATTTTGGGTGAATTATGCACAATACATATTGATGCATTTTTGTATTGCGATATATTGTAACACTTTTTAATGTAACGCATCCTTTCTGAATAAAAGTATTGAAAATCTCTTAAAAAAATAAAAATAAAAAGTTTTACTGAATACTGAATATACTCTCCTGACTTCACGCTGAGTGGAAAGCCAGTGTCTGACAAGCTGATAAGTGTATCATCATTCAAATAAGAGTGTTTCTGTGTTTTGTGTATAGACATCCATCTGAATTGTGAAGGTGTAACTGTCATCCTGAGATCAGACCCACGGGGTGGAGATTTCTGCTGCGGTTGTCGAATGCGAATGCCAGCAATACCTCCACCGTACCAGAGCTCATATTTTACAGGCCTCTTGGTACCATTTAGGAGAAGAATATGACCTTGGTCCTGATGTGTGAATCTCTGAAACACTCACTTCCTTACAGCGCAGGTGCAGGGTTCATCATGTTTGCTCTCCGTCTCGTGATTTCACGCTCAAAGTCTGACCCTAGAACGTTTCCCTTTGGTTTTAGCTTTCTTTCAGGTGTGCACTAATGAACTGCTCATTAACATATTGCTAAACAGTTGTATAGATTTACTGGGGACTTTGATTTTTGATTGGAAATCTTTTAGGTGGATTGTTATTGAAATGCAAACGTCTGCAGTCAATAGGCTTAATCTGGCTCTGAATGTCCTCAAAGTTGTCAGGGAGGCTGGTGTGGCAGATGTTTTATTGAATCATGGGTAATTCAGATTATGCGTAGACCTCTGTCATTTGAGTTTCTCAAAGGGATAGTTCACCAAAAAAGGGAAATTCTGTCATTATTTATGTCGTTTCAAGCACCTCACGATCTGATCCGATTTTAAAATATCTTATCATTTATTAATTGATTTATTTAATTGACTGTCAATTATATTTTAGTTATATTATAGTTTGAATTAGCTTTTATTTCTTTGTTAATTTTAGTTTAATATTTTGTCATTTTATTATATGCTGTTTTAAAATATTGCTATTTATTTCAGTTTTAGTTTTTATTTATTTCCAGTTACGTTTTAGTGCCTCAACTTAAACGTATTTTAGTTTATTACCAAGGCAATAATTCAAAGTTTTTCAGCTAATATTTTTATTTAAACGAACAGATATGTTCTTAATAGTAATAGTAACAATTCTTTGAATATCACATTTATTTATGCATTTTTTTTATTACATATTATAATTACTTTTCAATATACATACATTACAGGCAAATATAAAATAATAAAGAAACACAATTGAATCAGAATCGTTTAAGACAGCACCTGATAATCTATTATTTCTCTCCCAGTTTCTTTTGTACAAAACAAAATACTATATTTTTGAGGAAGTCTGAGCTGAAAGCATTTTGTGACCAGGGCCATTCAACAAATTCCAAATAACACTAAAATGTGGCATAAATGTCATGAACATCTTAACGTTTGTTTTTCGTGCAGATTAGGAATAACATGAGGGTGAAGACAAAAATGGAGATGAATTACTCCTTTAATAAACTGCAGTCAAAGCACTTCATGGATTAATCTTAAGCCTCTGAATAGAAGAGCAGAACAGCATATTCTTACCCCATTCGTATCTGTCTCTCCTTTATCCTCATGGCCCTAAAAGCCCCCTGTCTGCACTTTATGCCTTCAGGAGAAATGGAGCATGAAAATATCAGTCAGTCAGAAGTAAACTTCTCAAAAGAGAAGATGCTTGCATGAAGCGTATTTCAGCAGAGCTTTATTTTTCATGACATTTCAATTTGTAGTAAGAGCTCGTAATCATTAAAACTCATACTGGAGGAATTTTCTGTTTCTATGTTTAGAGGTCTCAATGACATTGTGGATTGATTGACTTTAGGCTTTGTGCCAGTAAATGGAAATGTATTTCTCTCTCTCTGTCTCTGTCTGTTATGGAAAAAGACCATATGAAAAACTATTTAGATTCTTTTTGAATATAAATTTAAGATTGACCACACAATAATTATACATATATTATGTAAACACAAACTTTTATTTTGGATGCGATTAATCATTTGACAGCCCTAATATGTAGTCTTTGGTTTAACTTATTGTACTAAAATAACAAAATAATGACAACAACACAAAATCAGAACTAGTAAAATCTACAATATCACTCAATTAAGTGCCTACTTAGAAGAGCACTTTAGCAACCATAGCATAGTGTAGTCCTGCTATTTCCTACAAAAGAAGACGAAGAGCTCTTTTCCAAAACGCTATAAATCCATTTCAATAGTTTTCAGGAAAACTACATTTTTTACCTAGACCCACACAATTTGTGAATATTCAAATTATCCTGTTTAAATGTTTTATTGGTTCAGTCTGAACATTTTGAACAATAATTATTAAATCAAACAACAATATTGTTAATGATAATTTAAAAGTTAATTTTATTTTTGCCGGTTCTTTGTGGCAAGCTTTATGCATACGTTGAGATGCGGAATATGCAATTAAAAACGCTCATATGGTTTCTCTCCCATTTAATTAAATCAATATATGTGATTACTGATAATACAAATGGCTTAAATGATCTACTACTAGTCGACTAGAAAACTAGGACTCATTTTGAGGAATGAATGAACATAATAAACCTCTGTTCAGAGTGCCGCCGTGCTGGATTGTGTAGAGCGCTCATTGAATTTGAGGATTTATCGTGTTTAGGCTAAAAACAGGGCTGGCGCTTATCGTGGTTTGGAAAGAAACTGTATCTTGCAGTACATTTTAAACAAGGAAATATAGCGATTCGGCATGAAACGTTGATAGAGCAGTGAAAGGGTTCTGTCCACAGCAGAATGACACGACAAACTCATTTTTTAAAAAAATGTCGTTTAACGCGTTTTGGAAAAGAGCTCTTCAATTACTAAAAAAAAATAAAAAAAATATCGTGTTTATCTGCCCTATAAGTTGACTTGTTTTGGATTGGCCTGTTCTTTTGATTCATATTTAATCCGTCCCGACTCAAATGGGCTTTTGGGTCACATAGCACATCCCTTTCCCATACAGGACCGTTTCAGAGCACATGGGGAGAACAACATCCAAAACTCTGGTTTCTCCTTCGCTAGCCTTTCTTCACCTTTAAGTAATTTTGCTAGAGCATGTGGAAGTCATTTCAGCCCCCTGCCTGCACTAGCTGGTATGAGTGTCACCATATGGAAGCAATTAGCTCTTTGTAGGGGGACAGACATGCTTTTTTTAAAACGGCAACGTCATCTAGACAGCGGGTCTGCCCAACATCTGACCCGTCCGTGCCGCTTTAAGGAAATTCCGACTCCTGTCCACGCTCAATTTAATATCAAACTCCACTTTTGATCATTTTAAATAACAAAGCCCATGTAAAAATCGCATTTACATGTGCCTCGTTTCGTTTGTAGCGTGTTTAAGCTCTGAATTTGGTTATGTCACTAGATCCATCTGAAAATGTGTTTCACTGATTGAGCTGAACAGGCAAATATACACAGTCGAGACTGGCACTTTAACACACTGACCTACTTAACACACGATGGCACAACAAGGGCGCTCAACTGCTTACCCAGAAGTCTTTTTCACAGTTTGATGTCATGTTCACATTGTCAGCACAAAGCAGTGAGTAATTTAAGCCCAAGATTGATGTGGAGTATTTACTTGGACTTATCACAGGATCTGGACTCACAGTTTATTGACCCAGAGGTGGTTTGTGTGAAAACGTGTTGTACATTTATGCTTTCTGGCATTCAGACACATCACTCAGCCCAACTGTAATCCATTACGCCCAGCCGGCTCCATTAAATTAGGCTGAATTGAATTTGCCTGTCTTGTTTTCTTCTCTCCTGTTGGTTCTTTAAGCGTTTGCTGTCTGAGATGATCATGCTAGTAATGATGAGCCTATAAGACACGAGGGTAACCACTAACCAGTTAGCTTTTAAATCAACTTATTGAATGGATCTATCTACTAGCTTGTGTTGAACTTTTTGTATTATTGAAAAATTAGTGAAAAAGTTTGGGGTCAGTTAATTAAAAAAAAAAGCTTTTATTCAGCAAGGATGCATTAAATTAACCTTAATGTGAAAAGTGACATTAAAGACAATGTTACAAAATAATTTCAAATAAATGCCATCACTCTGAACTTTCTTTTCCCACACAACTCTTTTCAACATTGATTGATTATTATAAGAAATACTTTCTGAAGGATTCTGAAAACATACCGACCCCAGACGTTTGAACGTGACTGAATCTGTGTTTAAACAATACAATATGAAACAGTCCGTCTCTCTGTAAACTGATCATAAATACATTAGAATTTTGTATAATAATTTCCTCATCATTTTGACTTTTTCAAATGTTGTTCTGGGAAATAAAAACTAGAAAATATTTTGATGGTAAATGTTGTTAGATGTATGAACCGTGACATATTTTGGTCTTGAATTTGAATTACTCGTGTCACTCACAATTAACTGTTGTTTCATTTCATTTATTCCCATTTTCAACCCTGATCGGAACTCATTGTATTGTCTCCAAACACTGCTTTTATATCACAAAGCTCTGGCTATGAAAGAGAGAGTGGTGTATTTAAAAAAAAAAGCCTAATTTTGGCCAAAATCTACTCAAATGAAACCAATAACAAGACATTAACTTCGGTTATTGGTTGTAATTAAGAACATTAGGCATGATTAATTCCCTTTATTCAGATTCTCTGAAACAAAGCAAGTCTGCACTCTCTCTTTCTGTCAGGCCTGTCCACATCCAGTCCACGGCTCCTAACCAAGAGTCTGTCCCTTGAGCCAGGCCCCTGCCTTGGAGCCCACGAGACCCCGCAGCACCTCTGCTCTGACCCTGGACCCCTGGAACCACAGCACTGCAATGGCACAACTGAGAACGGACCTCAGGATGTCCCGCCTCCACCCCCTAAGACACGCCCACCTTTACCTGGGCCAAAGCCTCAAGGTATCTTATGGACATTTAAAAGCATAGTTCACCAATAATAAAAAAAAAAAAAAAAATCTGGCATAATTTATAATACTGAGAAATTTATAATTCTAAATTAAAACTAATTCTGAAAATTCCACTATAAAGTTAAACCAGCTTGAATTCCATGTTGGCCCAGGTGGGTTTATGCTGGTTAGAGCTGGTGTAGCTGAAACTGAACTGGTGTTGCTGGTCCACTCCCACTTCCCATGCTAGTCCCAGCATGGAATACCAGTTCAAACACACAGTGAAAAAGCGCCTCCGGGCTCTAAAAAGGACAAAATGGCAATGTTTATGCTATATATGAAGTTTTCAGAAGCCATCCAATAAGTTCATGTGAAGTACAGAGGTCAATGTGTTATTATTGATTGAAATAGGTACATTTGCAAATGAAATTTGAGAGATACACTACCTTTCAAAAGTTAAGGTTCAGTTAGATTTTTTTATGTTTTTGAAAGTCTCTAATGCTCACCATGGCTGCATTTATTTGATCAAATTAAGAGACAATAAAACATTGAAATATAAATATTATTCCTGTATTTTCAGCCTCATTACTCCAGTCTTCAGTGTCACATGATTCTAATATGCAGATTTGATACTCAAGAAACATTTCTGATTATTTTGTCCTGCTTAATATTTTTGTGGGAAATTATTTTTAGGATTCTTTGATGAATAGAATGTTCAAAAGAACAGCATTTATTTGAAATATATTTAGTTTGTAATAATATAAGCCTTTACTGTCACTAGTAAATTAATAAAAGTATTAATTTAAAATATATAAGGGTAGTGTAAGTTTTGTGCACTAAATTGGGGTGACTAATTTAATCTTTTCTGTTGATCTCATGATTAATTTATGAGACAATATGATATACAATTATAATGCAATCTAGTAAAAGTACTTGTTGGTCTACCCTGTTGTTCTAATTTCATATTTGTCTTTCTGTGGTGCAGTCATGTGATCGTACAGTCTCACTGTATTGATTTCTGTATTGATTTTGTCTCGTTCAGTGCCCCCGAAACCCCCTCATCTACAGCAGCAGGGCGCTCGCCGGCCACGCCCCCCGGACAAGCCCCTCCCTCCCCCGCCCTGCCGCCCACTCCCCGCTGACCCTCGCCAATCACGCGCCACTTTACCGAGAGCAGAGGGAAGCTCCTCCCCCACTTGTGTCCTCTCGCTCATTGAGAAGTTTGAGAGGTAAGAGAACACAACAGTCGAGTGGTTGTCGTTGCTGAAGCCCGTTTTTAGATTATTATTCATAACTACGGTCAGATTTGATTTGGTGCTCTCAAGTAATGATATCTCCGTTTGTTGATCACAGGTAAACAAGAAGTTAAATCTTTCTTCTCACTGCAAAAAAATATTTTTTTTTATATTATAGTGTATTATTATTATTATATTTTTTTATTTATTAATCAGTATTTTTGTCTTGTTTTCCAGTAAAAAAAAAATGAACATCCTTAAAAAAAAATTAACTTGAGAAACAGAATTGCATCAGAATTTTTCAGAGAATATAGCTATATGTTCTTATTTTTAAGCATAAATCTTATTAAATTAAATTTATTTTATTATTTATTTACTTTAGTTATAATTTAATTTAACTTGCTAATATGATAAGTAAGGATTAATTCAACATGTGTTCTCCGAAAACAAGTCTTAACATTTTGTGCAATTTGTCTTCTCAGGTACATTTATTTTGTCTTAAGGATATTAAGATATTTTTTTTAAAACAGGACAAAAATACTCATAGAAAATTGTATTTTATTTTTTATTTAGTGGTCACAATGTGATGTGTTTATATATATATATATATATATATATATACATATGAAGAGTTCAGATGCAAAAGCCTCTAAGTGCCATTTGAAATTTTCTTCTAAAATGATCATTTTTTATCAAGCTTGTATATTTAAGTTCAGTGATTTAACTTAAATGGCAATGATAATTACCTATTAATTGTTATTTAAGTGAAATTACTAAACTTAAATATACAAGTTTGATAAAAATCATCATTAAAGAAGAAAATTTCAAATGGCATTTAGAGGCTTTTGCATCTGAACTCTTCATATGTAACAAGACATTTTTTTGTGCCTTTTTCCAGGGAGCAGATCATCGTGGTTCCAGATATCACCGGCGGAGTGATGTGTACCCCACGGGTCCCGGACCAGCAAGCCGCTCCTGGGTCATTTAGCCCTCCACCATCGGAGTTCATCCTGCCCTGCACGTCCCTTCAGGAACCACTAGAGGCGCCGCTGGCCGAGGAGGAGGTCGAGAAACTAGAAAAAGAGGAGGAAGACGAGGTGGACGAAACCGAGGAGGATGACAGTGAACTTGGGGCGTCCTGCTCAGAAAAGCGGCTCTCTATGGAATCGGGCTACGGTGCCTCTGATAAACTGCTGGACAATATGGAGATGAGGGACCTTGCAGCCAACCAATCAGAAATCCCCTCGGAACGCTTGTCACTCCCACCGTCACAGATGGACGGGAAGCTGGCCAATAGAGACAGCGGTATTGACAGTATCAGCTCGCCCTCACACAGTGAGGAGCTGTGCTTTGTTGGGGATGAGGATCGGGTCAGTCACGAGAGGGAGATTTGCCCGTGCAGCCCAGGGCCCGGGCTTCCTTGCGCCTATGTCGAGGGGCCCGGGGGAGAGGGGGCCAGCGGGGTGGAGGGCGGCAGAGACTCGGAGGGAGACAGTGATATGGAAGAGGGCAGCGGTGACGAGAGTGAGATGAACCCGATGGCTCTACAACCTCTGCCTAAAGCTGAACGACAAGACTCAACTGAGGTGAGTACGAGTGTGTTCTTCAGAGAACATGCCTACCATTGATTCATTCATTTATAAGATCTTATTCTTTAGCCTGACTTCGTCATACTCATATTCAAGAGAGAATATGAGTCTGAAACTCCTCCGTTGGGCTTTGATTATGAGGCGTGTCGTAACTGAACCAGGAAAAAAAACCTCTGCACTCAATTGGATAGTCGGTAGAGCTACAACCAATCAGAGCAACGCATAAGTCAACTCCTTTGCATAGCGCAGTTTTCAAATACAGAACGTAGCCTAACTTTATTTATTTTAGAAGTTAAATAACGAGTGTTGCTTCTTTTACTTACTTCTCCATGAGTGCCACCAAAGGAGAAACCTCAACGACCACAGGCTTTTCATTACGTCCCATCTTCTTAACGACCGTCAGAGCCACCTGATAAGTTACACTTTTCCCGAATCATGTAGGAAGGACGCCAAAAATATTTTTCCGATCGACAAATGCCTCGATTGCGGTTCTCTGTTTGTCTATTAAAATGTATTTTACAAAAGACGCGACAGTGGAATCTATACATCTCAATTCTCCAGCTGCAGTCGTCTCTGACAAGCGATCTTTGATAACGTCCCTGCAGATCATCTGTCCATCATCGTATAAATCCCGCCCTGGCAATTTGATTGGCCCGATCATTTTTTGACTGATCATAATTACTCCTCAATGGATCGAGTCCAGACCGAACTTCCCGACCAAAAAATGTTGTGGGCGGAGTTCGGGCTGGCATCCAGGCTACTTATTCTTAGTTACCTATGTATTACAACAAGACTAATTTACATATGGTTTACAGTTATGCAGTATGTTCTTCATAAACTATGCCTACCATTAATTAATTAATTTGGTGAGGAAATGATTAAATAATTTATCTAAGATTGATCTTACTCTTGGGTACCTCTTTATCCCCGAAGACACATTTACATATAGTTTACATACAATTTACATAAACACATATTATGCAGTATACATAAACCGCTTAATTAACTAATTAAATAATTTTGGTGCAAGAAACCTTGACAAAAATTATATATATATATATATATATATATACTAATGTTCAAAATGTATACTCTAATGTTCAAAAGTTTGTGGTCAGAAAAAAAGAGAGATTATTACTTTTTTCAGCAAGGATGCATTAAATTGCTTAAAACTGACATTTATATTATTACAAAAAATTCTATTAAAAAAAATTACATTAAAAATTACTGGGGAAATTGATCACGGTTTTAAAAAAAAACATTAAACAGCAAAAACTGATTTCCACACTGATAAAAATAAGAAATGTTTCTTACATATGTGACACTGAAGACTGGAGTAATGATGCGGAAAATTTGGCTTTGTATCACAGAAATAAATCACATTGTGTGTGTGTTTGTATATATATATACACACACACACACACACACACACACACACTTAATTTGAAAGTTCTTACTATTAAAAGCACCAGTGTTGTAGTACTCGAGACTCGGACTCGTCTCGGACTCGGTCTCGAGACCATATTTTAATGGTCTTGGTCTTGTCATGGACTCGTGTGCATTTGGACTCGGAATTGACTCGTACTCGAACATTTTTTTTTTTTAGGACTCGGAATTATTCCCGAGTCCACTCAAGTTCAATTAAAAATATTTTTCATGATTATTAATGTATGTTAATAAAATATTTCTTTAAATTGATTGACACGCCCAGTGATTGGTGATTTTCTATGGCGCAACTGCGCATGACAAATTGTAATAAAATTGCTTTTAACACCACCTACTATGTGGCCTTTTTACCCTAAACTGATCATATTTTTTAAACTCTAAGTAAATTCAGTAAAAAAAAAAAAAAAGGATTTCTCTAAGTAAATAAAAGTAAATTAGGTAATCAACCCTCACTGGTCTTGGTCTCGACTCGGACTCGACCATCTCTGGTCTCGGACTCGACTCGGACTCAACTCTCTATGGTCTCGGTGTCGACTCGGACTCGAGTGAGGTGGTCTCGACTACAACACTGAAAAGCACACACTTCAGTCCATCTTGTTGTCACAGGTGTGTTCAAACTATCATTATTCAGCCAACATGTTCTGGTTTTACAGCTGTCGTTCCAGCAGCGGGTGTTTAACATTGCTAATGAGCTTCTGCATACGGAGAAGGCCTACGTGTCCAGACTGCACCTCCTGGACCAGGTGTTCTGCGCCCAGCTGATGGAGGAAGCTCGAGCTCGCAGCTCCTTCCCCTGTGAGGTGGTCATGGGCATCTTCTCCAACATCTGCTCCATCTACTGCTTCCACCAGCAGTTCCTGCTGCCCGCGCTGGAGAAACGCATGGAGGAATGGTGAGAAAGACAGAGTGATTTTACTATGGTTAAGTGGTAACGTTACCCCACGTTAACTAATGTTTTATCTTGCCGTCAAGACAAATTTATTTGTATACACATTGTTTCAAAGCAGCTTTACAGAAATTCATGATGTTAATGTTTATAATATCTTAATGGCTTATGGTTGCATTTAGCAGATTAGAGCTGAGAGATAATGCAGTTATATCAATCATGCATTTAAGATTTGCTATATATTATACACTACTCAGCCAAAAATATGTCACTGTTTGGATTTAAATAGTCAGTGACTGGATCAATATTGCAGTGATTTTTGTGTTTCTAGCATGTTAGATGTTTGTTTGGCAACCGTTTTTCTAACTCTTTTTCTAAGAGTGTATAGCTTTTAATTTCTTAAACAACCATGTAGGAAGTAGAGCCCGACCAATAAAGGATTTTGAAGGCCGATACCGATACAAATACTTTTGGGTTTTAAAATCCGATATTCCGATATATCGGCCGATATTTTTTTTTTATTAAATATTGTTGGATTTCACACACGTGTAAAAGAAAAGCTAACTTTTCTGCACAAGATACGTTTGATACTTTTTCTCTATGTCTAAATGTTCACTCCTCGCAAGTCTAACTTACATTTTACAATGCAGGGACTGTAACTAGAGATATGCTAGTTATAAATACAGTAATAATTGTTTTATTTAGGCAGAAAAAGTTGATTGTGGTTTCCAAGCTCATTAATGTTAACGTTAGCGGTCTTCCACTGATGATAGTGGCATTAGCTAGCTTTGGGGTTAGCTAGTCTATGATGAGCCATAATTTAGCAATAGATAACATCATACTGCAAATTGTAAAACATACATTTTCAATATAACAGGCCAAGGAGAGATGATTAAAGCGTGTTTTGTCCGTTTTTATTTTATTTTTTAAATATTCATTTATCGGCCATTTATAACTGCCGATACCGATATTATGGAAAATGCCTAATATCGGCCGGCCGATATATCGGTCTGGCTCTACTAGGAAGACACATCATGGTCATATTCCAGGATGACAATGTCAAGATCCGGCTCAAATTGTGAAATAATGGTTGGGAGAAAGCATGAAATAAAGCCAAGAAATAAGATCAGGCAGTTGAGATTTAATAGTATGTATTGCTTTAGTTTATATAAGTATACTGGATGTATGAGGAAATAAAGGAGGATATAAATACCTCAGCAATAATATAGTTACATAAAAAGATGTTAATGCTTAATAAATTATTACATGTATATCAATAACCCAGTAAAAATCATCTACCTAGTTTTATTTTTGATTAGCCTAATTATTGGATGATATAGTATTTTGAGTATTTGGACTATTTTGCAATGGATTTTACCATTCTGCTCATGCAATCAGATTTTAGAAATGTAACTATAATTTTTCTTATTGACATTTTGAGTTCAGAACTAAGTAAACTTCTGCCCCTCTCCCCTCAGGGATCTGAACCCCCGCATCGGGGACATCCTGCAGAAACTGGCCCCTTTCCTGAAGATGTATGGCGAGTATGTGAAAAACTTTGACAGGGCCATGGAGCTGGTGAACACCTGGATGCAGCGCTCCTCTCAGTTCAAAGCCATCATCCACAACATCCAGGTATCAGTGGGAACTGAACTAAATGCTTTGTGCTATGCTAAGGATGCAATGCTCTGTAATAAGAAAAAGCAGCGATAAATATGAGGGAGGCAGGGCTGTCGTGAATTCACAGGTGTGGTGTAATTGCTGCTTCCAGGATTGGTCACGCCTGAGGTGTTTCCTATAGTGAGACATCGAAACGAATGTTTGAAAGAGAACATGCAAATCATGCATACATATTTTTGAGTTTCTCTCCTCACACAAAAGAAGATATTTTGAAAAACGCTGGGAACAGTTGACGGCAGCCATTGACTTCAATTACTACTGTCAACTGTTACCAGCATTCTTCAAAATATCATCTTTTGTGTTTTGAGCAACTCATACAAGTTTGGAACGACTTGAGGTTTAGTAAATGATGACAAAATGTTCATTTTCGGGTGAACTGGCCCTTTAACATATGCTTTTTGTAATGGACTTTTGAGTAGCGCATCTTACATGCTACCTCTAGAGTTTAAACTACTAGAGATTTCTTTAGATTGAATTGATTGTCTGAATAGATTTCAAGTGTAGAAGTGTGAAACACCAATTGGAATTGCGATAAAGTCACGGTAGAGATTGTTTGTGATGTGGCGAGTACTGTTGAGGATCACACTCTCGGAGTCTGATGAAATGTGTGAAAACCCCCTCACCGTTATAATGAGTGTTAATTGCGCGCAACCCTGCATAATTCACACCCATCGACTGAATGAACAGAGCGTGTGTTAGTCATACAGTAATCTAATCCTCCAGGTGCACTTCACCAAATCCACCTTCACAGTCTCAGACAAGAGCGTTCGTGTTGGAAATAACGAGAGCGCTCCCACGGCTCCGCGGTGATTGAGTGCGTCAGATGAAAGAGTGAATCGCTGAGGGTGCGGCAGTGTTTTTGGGGAGTTGTAGGTTATGGTGAATACTAATGGCGCCCCAATCAGGCCTGGTGCTGCACTTCAAACGTCTCTGGTTGCCACTGTGTGAAGAATATCAAGAGTGTGTGAGGACCAGTGCTTGAGATCACAGGACTGCTGTAAGCAGATCAGGCATGTCATGGGCTCCATCACGCAAGGCTTTACACCACCAGTGAATGATCTTTTTTGTGCTCGGCATTGATTTGGGAGTTTGCCTTATTGTTAAAGACAGGGTGTATTTCTTGTGCAACATGATGTATTTCAGAGTGAAACAAAATATTCATTGGATAAATAGACGGAGACAAGCAAGATTTGATTGCATTGTGAAAAGTAAAATGTTTTAAAATATTGCACAGGAATTTGAGCAAACCTCTAGTTTTAAGTATTAAACATTGATTGAGAAAAGCAATATTACAGTCTAGCAACCACATAGTAACATACTATATATATAAATATTTATACACACACACACAAACACAAACACACACACACACACACATATATATATATATTTAAATTTAATATATATATATATATATATATATATATATATAAATTTAAATATATTTGTGTGTGTGTATATATATATAAATATTTATATATATATAGTAATTTATATAAATATAAATTTATATATATATATATATATATAATACCGGTACTGTATATTTGCACAAAAGCTTATGAAAACAAGTTTTTAATTTTATATATATCTATTTTTCATGAGCTTTCATTACAATATATTATATATTAAAATACAAACACACAATATATATATTATCATATTTTTAAAAATACCATAATAATATAAAAAGTATATATGTTTATATATGTATTTTAAAATATAGTAAATAATATATTTGAATGAAAACTATTTTCTTTTCTTTTTCTATATTATATATTAACATTTAAATATATATATATATATATATATATATATATTGTCAAACGTCTGTCAACGATTAATCGCGATTAAATGCATCCAAAATAAAAGTTTGTGTTTACATAATATATGTGGGTGCACTGTGTATAATTATTTTATATATATATATATATATATATATATCTGAAGAGTTCAGATGCAAAAGCCTCTAAGTGCCATTTGAAATTTTCTTCTAAAATGATCATTTTTATCAAGCTTGTATATTTAAGTTCAGTAATTTCACTTAAATGACAATGAAGATTACCTATTAATTGCCATTTAAGTGAAATTACTGAACTTAAATATACAAGCTTGATAAAAATGACCATTCTAGAAGAAAATTTCAAATGGCATTTAGAGGCTTTTGCATCTGAACTCTTCATATATATATACTGTATATATATAAATACACACACATGCATGTAAACACAAACTTTTATTTTGGATGCGATTAATCGCGATTAATCGTTTGACAGCCCTAATATATATATATACAGGTATATATATATATATATATATACTCTTTAGTAATATGAATAATACAGTATATCTTGTATTTTAATATGTATTTGAATGAGAGCTTTTCTTTATAATTATGTGCACAAATGAATTTTGCATAAAATAAGTGTGTAAATAGAGTCAGTCTTGATTCATGTTGTGTTTCAGGTCTCTTTCTTTGCAAATGTTGGGAATGATTCAGTGCATATTTTCTTTTTAGTCATCGTATTCTTTTGGGTGTGTATTGCAGAAAGAGGAGATGTGTGGGAATCTCACCCTACAGCACCACATGTTGGAGCCTGTGCAGAGAATCCCTCGTTACGAGCTCCTGCTCAAAGACTATCTGCACCGCCTGCCAGAAGACGCGGACGACTTCAAAGACGCTCAGAGTGAGTGCAGAACGGCAGAACGCTGAAATGGGCCTTATCTCCTCCACTGACCACAGCAGCCCACTTTCTGTTTCATTTCAACTATCCGTGCATGTGCCTGGAAATATTTCAGTCAAAAGATTCATGCAAGGTTAACAGTGCAAGATAAAAGGCAAAATGGAAAAATGACACCTTGCGAATATCAAGACCTTACTCCTTTATTCATTTCAGAATCTCTGGAGCTGATCGCCACGGCGGCAGAACATTCAAACGCTGCCATCAGGAAAATGGTGAGTGGATTTCAGATGAACCACAGATCATCGCCACACTCCATCTGGGGTGAAAACCAGCACTGCCACTTAACAACCCTTTGTAATTAAGCATGGTTGCCTCTTTAATGTGCAGTCTGCTTTAGAAAGTCTCTCATTTGAAGCTGTTAATTGCCTATGTTTTTATTTTCTTCATTTTTTTGAGACATGAGATGCCTCCCTCCCTGTGTAACTGACCCAATCAGACAATAACTGTTTCCATCCACCTATTTTAAAGGGATAGTTCACTTTTAAATACATTTTTGATATGTTTTAGCTTACCTCAAGGGCATCCAAGAGATGTAGGTGTCTTTGTTTCCGCAGTAGTATATTTTTAGGTCAAACCGTTCTTGTCTGTGAGAAATATAATGGAGGTCTATGGTCACCACCTCAAAGAGCATGCACAGAGAAGTCCAAATGAAACATGATTTAATGACTCGTAAATGTAAGCACACATTAATGGCCTAAGACACGAAATGAGTGGTTTGTATGAGAAAACGAACAGTATTTATATCGTTTTTACCTAACCACAGCCACGTCCAAGTGATCTGAGAGCGTGGGCGCTTCGGTCTGCGCAAGCGCCGGAAGGATCTAAATATGGTTGTGAAAAAATTCGACGTTGTCTGTTGATAAATCGAAATTATCTTCCATTGCGATTTCAAGTCATTAAATCATGTTTAATTTGGACTTCTCTGTGCGTGCTCTTTGAGGTGGTGACCATAGACCTCCATTATATGACTGACAGACAACAGTTTGACTAAATATATCAAAATTGAAACTACTGTGGAAACAAATACACCTACATCTTGGATGCTCTTGAGGTAAGCTAAAACATACCAAAAATTAATTTCAAAGTGAACTATCCCTTTAATGAGAACATGACAGCGTTTATTGTGTTTCATCTGCACGTTCAAGTCATTTATAATGTATGAAAAAAATATAATTTTATCACTGATATTTTGGGGCAATTTCCCAGGAAGTGATGATTTGATTTTCTTGAAACACATGGGATGGAAACGGTGCTTTATTCACAAAGGTTTGTATGCGATCTTCCAATTCTGAGCACAACTTTGGATGGAAACATAGCTACTGTCAAATTTAATCAGCTCGAAGCTCTCTTGTTTGGATGCTCGCTCCAAATGACTGAATGATAAATGTCCATGCAAACGTGTGCACGTTTTGTCTCTCAGGAGCGCATGAGAAAGCTGTTGAAGGTGTACGAGTTGCTCGGTGGAGAAGAGGACATCGTTAACCCGACTAATGAGCTCATTAAAGAGGGACACATCCTGAAGCTGTCAGCTAAAAATGGGACATCACAGGATAGATACCTCATCCTGGTGAGTCAAACCTCCCAAAGCTGTTTCACTAGTTGTAAATGATACCTCAAAATGATTTCTTAGTAAAAGAAGTTTTGTGAATGTAGTTCTTTAAATCATGCATGTTTAACTTGTTCTCCTCTCTCTGAAGTTCAATGACCGGTTGTTGTACTGCGTCCCTAAACTGAGGCTGATAGGACAGAAATTTGGAGTGAGAGCGAGGATTGATGTTGACGGCATGGAGGTTCGACGTGTTTTTATCTTGTTTACAGTGTCATATTCAAAATAAATCAAATGGTGGATTCACTCTGCTTTGTTTCACAGCTGAAGGAGACCAGCAGCATGAACGTACCACGAACTTTTCTGGTATCCGGAAAACAACGTTCGCTTGAACTGCAAGCAAGGTACGGCTTATAGGGAATGTGCTTCATCTGCTTAAAAAAGAAAATCTGAGGTTGATTGACAACCACAGAAATGTTGTCCGAGCTTTTGGGGATTAGGAGGAAATACCCAAGAAAAGAATATGAGCCATTGAAAAACAAGAGAAATATGTGCAGCTTTTGGGATTTTACGATGTTTGTTGTTTTCGTTTTCACCAGGACGGAAGAAGAGAAGAGAGATTGGATTCAGGTAACCTTTTCTCCTCCTGCACATCATCGCAGCTTCTCCCACTTCTCCCACATTTTCCTCATCTTTTCTTTCTTGCTCACCTCCTCACAGGCAATCCAGGCCACTATGCAGAGACATGAACAGACGCTCGAGACGTTCCGGATGCTCAACTGCTCGTTTCGGGAGGAGGACTTCACTCCTCCCAACTCTCCAGTTAGTTTTGATGTTATCACTCGCAGTGTTGTTATTGTTATCTAGATCTAAAATGGCGGCAACAAATTTATTTAATTTAAATTGATCTGAAATATAGTATAAATATTGGATGTAAAACTTAAACTTAAAGTAAAATTAGAAATGTTGCCACAAAAACTAACATTTCTAAAACTTTAAAAGATAATGAGACATATTAAACAATAAGTGACATAACAAAATTGCTAAAACTGTAAATATAAAACTAAAAAATAATTCAAAATATTAATAAATACTATAGTAGTTTATGAATAATAGTATATTATCAATAAATCAATAAATTAATAAATCAATAATTGTTTTATATATATATAACATCTTTCATTTCCCTCTGATATTAGGGATAATTTATGTGTAGGGTTAGGTTTAGGGGGTGATATTACGGAAGCCCTGAACCGCAACCTAAAAAAAAAAAGTCTGTAAAAAAATCTAGCATTTCGAGATTAAAGTCGAAATGTTTCGAGATTAAAGTCGAAATGTTTCGAGATTAAAGTCGGAATGTTTCGAGATTAAAGTCGAAATGTTTCGAGATTAAAGTCGAAACATTGTGCATTCATAACAGTGCGCGTCCACTGGCTCAGAGCGCGCGCGTGTGTGTGTGTGAAGTCGAACTGCCATGGATAAACACAGAATAGTAGCTTTTTACTTTTATCTGGACTTTCAACAAAATTCTACACACGTCACGTGCTAGTGGCAGTGTTTCTGAGGTGTTTTCGCGATCGTCTAGTCAACACTATCTGGGTCGAGAACACAACAGTAACTGTTCGGTCTCCTCTTCACCATAAATACGCTCTGGATACATTTTAAGTGCATCATTCTGTATCCAATCATTTGGCCGGATCCTGTGATTTCCTAAGATTTAATAACCACTTGCGGTTGAGGAGAGATTCTCTGATATGACTGTAAAGCACTTTGAGTGTAGGCATATATGAAAGCGCTATATAAATGCCCTATTCATTCATTCATTCATTCATTCATTCATTCATTCATTCATTCATTCATTCATTCATTCATTCATAAAGCTGGATTTCTCCATCCAGCACGAAAACACCTCAGAAACACTGCCACTAGCACGTGTGACGTGTGTAGAATTTTGTTGAAAGCCCAGATAAAAGTAAAAAGCTACTATTCTGTGTTTATCCATGGCAGTTCGACTTCACACACACACGCACGCGCGCGCACGCACGCTCTGAGCCAGTGGACGCGCACTGTTATGAATGCACAATGTTTCGACTTTAATCTCGAAACATTTCGACTTTAATCTCGAAACATTTCGACTTTAATCTCGAAAAATTCCGACTTTAATCTCGAAACATTTCGACTTTAATCTCGACATGCTATTTTTTTTTTTTTTTTTTTACAGATTTTTTTTTTTTTTTTTTACTGACTTTTTTTTTTTTTTTTAGGTTGCGGATATGGTTAGGACAATATTTTCAGAATATGTTGATCCAGGAACATGTTTTACTTGGTAAAATCACGATGACTAGATAATATACAAAAAGACTTTTATAGCAAGTACACTTAAACTCTTATACACTACTAAATATTATTATATCCTAGATAATAGTTCACACATTTTTATAATATGTTCCACATATAAATGGGTCTTTATACATAAAAATATAAACTGTAGCTGTATTTAGGCTGTATATTAGGAAGGGTTTGCCATGGGGCTCTGGCATTAAACGTTTAAAAATCCCAGATGGATACTACAGTGTCCCCAATGAGGCTTTTGATGCTCAATTCACACTTAAATATGCATGAACGTCATTGCATTAGTTAACAAAATTTCAAAACAAGTGGCAAAACTTCAAAGCAAACATCTTTAAAAAAAGACACTTGCTCTAATGCGGTGACATTTAGGTGTGGGTTCGGTCTGTGAATGCTTAATGTAGCCACTGCAGTATTTTCTGATCGTGTTTTGTTTTCAGAATTGCACAGAGCTGGGAAAGAGAGCGCCCACTCCGATCCGGGAGAAAGAGGTCACACTGTGCATGAAGTGTCAGGAGCCTTTTAACTCTATTACCAAAAGACGGCACCACTGCAAAGCCTGCGGACACGTATGTAACACAACAGCGTAACTCTGTAAGTCCACACGCTCCTGGTGCTGATGCAGTGGACTGACGCGGGTCTTGATTTCAGGTGGTGTGTGGAAAGTGTTCCGAGTTCCGCGCACGTCTGCTGTACGATAACAACAGAGCCAACCGCGTGTGTATAGACTGCTACACCATGCTAGTGGGAGTGCCGCCCTCTCCTGCCAGTCTGAGCAACAGCACACAGAGACGTCGCTCCATTCTAGAGGTAAAGTAAAGGTCACGCTCTAAATGTGCACTTCCTTACGGAAATAGCAGCGCTTGCAAAAAAAGAATAGTGTTAATGCTTTAGGTAAACCTGGTCAAAAGTTTGGGGTCATTAACATTTTTTTTATGCTTTTTAAAGAAGTCTTTTATGCGCACCAAGCTGTTTATTTGATCACAAATACAGTAAAAACAGTAATATTGTCTAAATATATTGTGAATTTTTGCATTTCAATATATTTTAAAATGTCATTTATTTCTGTAATGCAAAGCTGAATTTTTTTCAGTGTCACATGATCCTTCAGAAATCATTCTAATATGCTGATTTGCTGCTCAAGAAACATTTATTATTATGGTCATTTTTTTTTTTTTTTATTCACTTTTATTGAAGAAAGCATGTTGAATTTTACAATTGTTTGACATATGAAGTACATTACGTTGCTTTACCATTTTTTTACTTTATATTACAAGAACATCAGAACTCAGGTGTGGGTGGTGGGGAAACCAAATTACTTCCATATTGTTGATATTATTCATTTAAACTTTTAAATCTGTGCACAATTAGTAAAAAGCAGCAGTGTTTACAAAAAATCTGATCTAACCGGCTTAACTCCGACGCTTGGACCATATCCAATAGAAAGTGGCCCTAAAAAGGACAGTTTTGCCATTGTGTAGATCTCTTGCACTAATTATTATTATTTTTTTATTTTTTTTTATTTGCATAAATGTTTGTTTGTTAAAAGTTTGGGGTAAGTTAGATAAAAAAACAATTTTTTTTTTAATTAATACTTTTATTCAGCAAGGACCCATTAAATTAAGATCAAAATGCTATATAAATATAAATGGTATTCTTTTGATAATTTTATTAATAGAAGAATAATTTTAAAAAGGATCACCGTTTCCACAAAAATATTAAACAGCAAAAACCAAGATTGATAATGATAAAAATAAATTACTAAATAATTGAGCTCCAATAATAATTGATAATAAATGAGCACCAAATCAGAATATTATACTGATTTCTGAAGGATCATGTTACACTGAAAACTTTCCTTTGCCATCACTGGAATAAATTACATTTTAAAATTAAATTTGATTTGATTTGATTTGATTTACTTTATTAATCCCCAGGGGGGAAATTTATGTCAGAGCAGCACATAAATACAATAAAAATAAAATAAAAACACAACAACAACATACACAACAACAACAGGTCTTGTACTGAAATATCAATTTTTCAAAGCATTATGACTATGATTATATATATGACCATCATCTGCATCATCTTATAAAGCACTGATTGTAAAATCATCAAATTAAATTTTAATATTTCACAGTATTACAGTTTTCCTGTATTTGATCAAATAAATGCAGCCTTGGTGAGTATAAGAGACCTCTTTCAAAAACGTAAAGAAATAGTTAAAATTATTCCAAACTTTTGACTGGTAGGATAGGTTTTATACAACTGTAGGGACTCAACACATAATGTGACTCGTCTGAGGAGTCTAAAGGCAGCCGTATGGCTAAATAGATGCAAGAAAGAGACAAGAATATGAAAAGTAACTGTACCTTGTTCTTCCCCTCGTGCAGAAACAGGCCTCAGTGGCGGCTGAGAACAGTGTGCTGTGTAGTTTCCTACATCATATGGTGAAGGGAAGTGGCCGTGGATGGCAGAAGGCCTGGTTCGTCATCCCTGAAAATGAACCACTGGTGCTGTATATCTATGGTGCTCCACAGGTACGGCTGCAGGAACTAATCCACAGGCTTATACACATATATTATGAGAATATGTGCACGAAAATATGAAAAATTATTATTATTTTTTTTTTTTACATTTTCGAGAACCGCCATGACTGCATGTACACCTGGATTATCATTTTTATGCCTGATGTGTCCTTTCTACTCACCTGTCAATCAACCCTTCTGTTAAAACAAAGGTTTTGAACTTTGGATTTTAAAGAAATGACCCATATAATCAAAAGGTTTGGAAAATCCTATATATATATACAATACATTACCAATCAGAAGTTTGGGGTCACTTAGATTTTTTTACTTTTATTCAGGAAGGATGCATTAAATTGATCAAAAGTGACAGTAAATGCATTTATAATGTTACAAAAGTAACATTATAAATGCAAAAAATATTAAATAAATGCTGTTCTTTTGAGCTTTCTATTCAAAAGAATCCCGAAAAATGGTTCATATTTTTCGTATTCACAAAAATACGAAGCAGCACAACTGTTTACTTGAGCAGCAAATCTGCATATTGGAGTAATGGAGTAATGATGCTTTGTCATTGCGGAAATACATTTTATTTGAAAATATATTCAAATAGAAAAGAGTTATTTGACAATATTACTGTTTTTACTGTATTTCTGAAGAAATAAATGCAGCCTTTGTGAGCAGAAGAGACTCTTCTTACCAACCCTAAACTTTTTAACAGTAGTGAACATGCACAAGACGTCACAGAATTTGCTTGACGTCAACATGAAATTTGGTCACACGTGGTCACAGGAGATTTGGCGTGCATTTCTCCCAGACAGACGCAAACACCAGGTGTTAAACAAGGCCTCAGTGTGCATTCCATGACTAATGTTCACAGTGATCCGTTAATGGTTTACTAGGGAAGGATTGATCTGTTTTTCTCTCTCCATACGCACAGGATGTCAAAGCTCAGCGCAGTATTCCCCTCATCGGATTCGAGGTGTCGCTACCTGAATCCAGTGACCGTCTAGAGCGTCGCTTCGCCTTCAAAATGAGCCAGAGTCATTTGACCGTTTACTTCAGTGCCGACTGTGAGGAAATGCAGCGACGTTGGATGGAGGTGTTGTCGAGGGCCGGCAGGGGTGAGGAGTTGCAGTCAAATGGTCCGATTTCCGAAGCCCTCGAGGAAGAAGGGGAGGAGACAGTACCTACAGGAGAAAGCACATGATTGGCTGAAAAATATATCATTTTGCACACACAAACTGTACAAATGTGACCACAGCGACAGGATATCATATGATAGACAAAACACACACACACACACACACCCACACACAAACACACACACACATCTGTATTAATTGTCAGTTGTAACAAGTTGCATGAAATATCTACAGGTACGTTTCTCTGTCTATTGCTCATCTTGTGTGAGTGACCAGTGTTTGGAACAATCTGACAAAAGTGTGCACACTTTAAAGGACAAGCGATTACGTTCATCAACTCTTTGGGTCGCTAGCAGTTTCTTTGCTGAATCGACTGTTCTTTTCGTGAAGTGGTTTCTCGACTGATGCTTCTAAGGGTGTGTTCACACTTGGCATGTTTGGTTCGATTAAAACGAACTCTGGTGCGATGGCTCTTACAGTGCGGTTCAGTGAATATGAACGCCAGACGGACCGAAGACATCTAACCGAACTAAAAACAGGACATCACTAGACTAGATGTGACCCTAAAACTGACGTTTTTCCTTGTCAAAGATGCTATGATGCCCATTACAGCGTCGGAAACGTCGTCGCCTTGCAGCACACCTTCGTTTGAGAGTGTGACGGAAGAATTCCTGGTGCTCTTTTGACTCCTTTATACATTTTATAAACCCTTTGTGAGTTCTCAGCGGGCAAAAATACCAATCATATGAACATACAATGAGCAATTTAGTCTTACAGCATTGTTTTGCTCAAAATATACATCATAAAAGCCTTTTTTTAATCTTTAGGTTCGTTGTTAAAAATGACAGTGTGTGAACAGTGTGAATGCTTAGAGATCCGAGTCTAAATGTGTCATTTTCTTTTTGGTCCGGACCAATAAAACCAAGAGAACCGAACTACAAGTGTGAACACACCCTAACTCGATATGGATCACACTTGGTATAGCGAAGTGAGATAGTTGTCAATATGGCGAGGTGGCATGAATGTTTGGCCTGGTTTTGTGAAAAGTTTAGGTCAGAAATAACCGAGTTTACATAACCAGAAGGAGGATGGAATGACCGATTTTGTTGATTTTAAATAAGCCAAGTAACTATGAATCTGGCCAATATTTATACCAATAATCTGCTCGGTAAGGGGATCAGATTTCGATTACATATTAAACATTGGCTATTGCAGTTAGCCGTGGATTGTGACAGGATTGGACACATGAAATGTTGTTTAGCTATGCAAGCCTGTGTTTATCTCAGAAACGTGTGGTAATCAGGAATTGAACTGCTGGAACATTTATTAAGCAGGTTCGAACCACTCAAAAACAACAGAAATATGTGCTTCCTGTTGACTCCGTGGTCCTTCAGCTCAGAGAACACCACCAAATTTACTCTGCCACCTAGTGGGCGCTCATCATAATGCTCTTAAAGGAGTAGTTCACTTTTAAAAAAACCTTTGCTGATAATTTACTCACCCCCATGTCATCCAAGATGTCCATGTCATTCTTTCCTTAGTCAAAAAGAAATTAAGGTTTTTGATGAAAACATTCCAGGATTTTTCTCCATATAATGGACTTCAATGGGAACCAAACGGTTCAAGGTCCAAAAGACAGTTTCAGTACAAACTGCAAACTGTTCAAAGGGCTTACAAAGTTTAAGTTTTATAAGCTCAAATGGTCACCTTGCTCTGTTCTGTGACGCACGTTCGTGACACTCCTGTTCAAACTCGTTCATCAAAATTAACTAATCTTTTTCCGAGTCGTTTGGTTCATTCAATTGAATTGACTCGGAAAAAGAATTTGTTCATTTTGATGAACGAGTTCGAACAGGAGAGTCACGAACGTGCATCACAGAACAGAGCAAGGTGAGCATTTGAGCTTATAAAACTTAAACTTTGTTATTTATTTATTAAATGAGCGATCGCTTCGCTTGATAAGACCCTTATTCATCATCTGGAATCATTTAAAGCCCTTTGAACAGTTTGCAGTTTGTACTGAAAGTGTCTTTTGGACCTTGAACTGTTTGCTTACCAGTAAAGTCCATAATATGGAGAAAAATGCTGTAATGTTTTCATCAAAAACCTTAATTTCTTTTCGACTGAAGAAAGAATGACATGGACATCTTGGATGACATGGGGGTGAGTAAATTATCAGCAAAAGTTTCTTTTAAAAGTGAACTATGACTTTAATGTCAGGAAACCGGTCTAGAACATGTCAGCCCAAATTCAAAAGAAATTTTATTTTGCATAAAGTGAATGAAGCTTATTTTAAAGACCATTAAGATTTGTGTTGCATTGTTACATTACTGTAATGTAAAATAAAATAAATTATATATTTAATTTATAGTGTAGGATTATATGTTGTACTGTCTGTAATTTATGCTGATTTAAATAAGTTACCGTAATGAGAATCATTGAGAAAAATAGGAATCATAATGTACATAATGTCACAGTCTTAAAGGGATACTCCACTTTTTTTGGAAATAGGCTCATTTTACAACTCCCCCAGAGTTAGTTCAGTTCAGTTTTACCGTTTTCCAATCCATTCAGCCGATTTTCTGATATTTAGAAGAATATCAGTAACCAGACAGTTTCTGGACTCATTGACTTCAAGTCAATGAGACCAGAAACTGTCTGGTTACTGATATTCTTCTAAATATCAGAAAATCATCAGAATGGATTCGAAAACGGTAAAACTCAACTGTTTAAATCTGGGGGAGTGGTAAAATGAGCCTATTTCCAAAAAAAAGTGGAGTATCCCTTTAATGGCCCTAAAAATAAGCAAGTTTTTCTTTTAAACAAAATAAAATTGATTTATTTTGGGGGTAAAATGCAACCTGGACATGTTTATCGAAGACTGTCTCTTGAGGAAAACGTGTGTAAAATAGAATTGACAGGGCTCTCCCTACAGGATAACCGAGATTTATCCTGTCGTTTGAGTGTGCGTGAGTGGTTTTATGAATGCGGAGTTGTGAGATTTGATAAGATTGTAGGTCATGAGGGTGTGTATGAATCGGGCTCGTTTTTATCATTGAAAGCTCAATGATATCCCTGCCTTATTATTTAGAGGGGCTTTTGATAAATAAAGAATATATATAAATAAAATACAAGGTAAAAGTTTTGACAAGGATATCAACAGTTTTCAATCCGTGTTGTATTTGTGTATGAAAAGTGCAAAAGATTTAAGGACGAATTCATTTGTAAATATAACTTATTCCTCTGGGCCCAGTTTTGTGGGTTAGGTATTGTCGACGAGCTTTTGGTGTTTGATCTTCGTTATGTGCCGTTTTAAATGGACTTCTGAGCATTGTGGTAAATCCCAGGTCAAGAAAAGCTTAAGATAAGTTCTCTCATTTTACCACTTATTCCAGAGGTAGATATTCAGTGTTTTAGAAAGAGCTTCATTTTCTTCTCCTCTTTTTGAATCCAGTTTCCAAAATGTATTTGCCAATGTGAACGCCTGATGACTCATTGAGAACCGCTTTAACTCTTTGTGTTTGATATTGCTTTAATCTTGCTCTTTGTTGTCAAAGACATTGCTCGATTAAAAGTGAAGGTGTGTTTCGCCAGTCCGCCAGGCTGTCTGCTGTTTCCTTCCTCAAGAAAGGACTGTTGATGCCAGTGCATGGTTTGGAAACACTGATGGCTTTGGGACAGGGCTGCGTGTGTTGACTTCCATATGTTTACGACTTGTGCTGGTCATTTCCCAGATCCTCAGTTGAGCCTGCCCGTCACTCACGCTTTCACACACACATTCATCTTCCTGCTTCTCTCAGTATTATTGTTCTCGATATCCTGCCTTATACTGATATTTTGCAACCCTGTGCTTATCTACACATTGTTTTTCACAATTGCTTTTTTGCCAAAGTATACTGCAGACAATGTCTATTAGATATTGAAATGTTTTTTTTTTTATACTTTTATTTTTTTTATACCAATATTTATTGTCTTTTTTTACTCCTTGAGGTAATTGCAGTGAGGGTCGCGATGAACCAAAAGATTAACACTACCAAAATGCAAAGGAAAAACGCTATACATTAACATTTGGGAGAATATAAGTTATTTTTTTCTGTGTGATTTAAGTATGTTTTAGTGCCACACTCATAGAAAGTTTTGATCTTTTAATGGAAGCCATTTCTATTCTTTACTCGGTTCCGCAGTCCACAAAATTTATTTGCAAACTGTATTTTGAAGGGATATAATATAGAATACAGACGTAATTCTCTGTAATTCACTTCAAAAGTGATAGAGGTGAAATACACTGTAGTTAATTTTAGGATATCTGAACAATTGTGCATTTTTATCAAGTTATCAGAACAATCTCATGTCTTTGATCTGACATTAAGTGTCGTATACAGAAATAGAGGTGCTATTTTATTGTTCGATCAAGGGAACAGCTTTGTGTTGTAATAAATGACATGATGAGAGATCAAGAATTGTGTGTATGAATGAACAGGCTATATAACCAGAGTTTCTAGTGTTTAATATGGAGGAATAACACATGGAGCAAGAATCATTTGGGAGAAACCATTACATCTCTGTGGTGCAGAACAGAGGATTAAACGTTACATTGTATATATTATTATATATGCCCAAATCTGCATACCAAAAGAATCCATGAATAGCACAGTCTGATGATGATGATGTAATCTGTCACTACATCTGGATTTTTGACTTGAGTGTTTTAATCTTGTTCATTTTTATAATCTAGTCCTATCGCACCAAATTTCAGTGCTTTGTTACACGGCAAACTTTTAAAAACTATTTATTGTAAACCAGCGTTTGGACGAGCAGGTTTCTTTTATGTGGACATGTACAATGGAAGCTAAAGAGAGAAATGTCGAGGCATGGATGATTGATTTGCCTATAGATGTTAATGATTACCTGCCTAGTGATGATCTACCAATCTTTCTCTTCTGCTGTCTGGCATCATCACAGCATGCCAAACCCGAGGAATTTAAATGAGCGCCTCTTGGCCCGTTACAGGTTTTTTTTTTTTTTTTTTGTCGCCTCTTCATGTTGTGCACGTCTGCAACAAATCAGCAGAGAGGGATTTGTAAAACATTGCCATATAGCCATATAGCTGATCTTCTCAAGGACAGTAAACACCGTGTTACTTTGCTCAGAAACACCCTCTCAGAAAACCAAGAAATGGCTGCATTAGCTTTGATGTTTTCTTTTCAAGCCTATTAGCCAAACCATCACACTATATGGCACAAGTATACATGCTATTGTGTTCCCTCATGAAACCTGGTTTATTGTACACATAATATGGGAATGTCTGTTATTTCAAGTACTATTATTATTATTATTGTTGATTAAATTAGTGGCAGGCCACTGGGTACCATTGTATGTTAATATCCCAATGAAATCTGTGCAAGATCAAGAAAATGTTTATGAAATAAAGTAATAAAAGAACAAATGTCGTTCATTTATTTCATCCAAATACTGTGTTTGATTAGAGCTTGTAGATTTTAATATCTTACCAGATGTAGGTGTGTTCAGAAGGCACTTCCCTTCAATAGGGTGGGATGCGAAAAGGTTAAAACATCTGAGGAACAGGCCAACAATTAACATGCATTTGTGCTTTAAACTAGCTATATGATAGTTTATCAAACAATTTCAATCAATTCTCACAAAAACATATGATTTGTGCCTCTGTGATTTCAGAAAGTGTACCCTATAAGAGGAATGCGTCAAAAACATACCTATGCATCATTTCAGTTAGGCTTAATACATTTTGCTTATACTAATGCAAATAAGATTGTATAATATGTGCTCAATGAAATCACAACGTATTAATTTAATCGTCAACATTAGTTTAAAATTAGCATTATTTTCATTTTAACATCACAAAGGGACACAGAAGTTCATAAATATCTCAATGTAAAGGATGACGAAATAGTTTGTAATGTTATATCAAAGGATGACCTAACTGGTGAAGTAAACAAGTATTCTATCGTTCGTCTATTGGCTAACGTCAGTGAAGTCCCGCCCTGCTGCACAGCTATTGGCCCGCTCGTCTGTCTGTCAACCGTCGGCTGATCATGGAGCGTCATTTTGGGGTTTTCCCAGTCAGATTTACTCGCGGGGAGAAGAGAGCAAGATAACGGCGTGCACTGGAGTCAGACTCTGATAGAGCAACTAAGGACTTTGGCCGTCAATTCGCATTTAGTTTTCATCAAGCTCTAGTCTAGCTACACAGATAAAGAAAGCGTCGATACGGAGTAAAGTTAAAATTTGAGGGAAATTTGTGCTGTAAACATCTCGCTAGCGGTCGGACAGTGCGACAGTCGTGTATTTTAACCTCTTCAGAAAATAAGCGGTGTGATATAGTTTGTTATCTTGAGCTCAGGCGATTAGTATTCTCATTAGCTCGGTTACTCTAGCTCGTTTATTTTGCTGTTTGTAAAAACTATTGAGCTCCGGGAGAAAATGTCCAGCCTGCCTTCCGTCAGACTCGAGAAGGGCCGAGTGGAAGTGGCGTTACCTGGGCAACAGGCGCAGCACGAGCGTCCTCAGACGGTCTACGTCATTCTGGACTCCTCAGCCGAATCTGTCAATCTCATCAGGTTAGTGCACGAGCATCACAGAAACTCTAGTTTTAACTGATTGTTTTGCATTTACATTCAATGGATCCTGCAGACTGTGGACTACTACATCATGGACAGAAATTGCCTTAAAGCTACTTTGTTAAGCAAGCTTGTGCATGCATGCAGCCTCTTGACCAGTCTCGGAAGATGAACTCGACTGAATGTTGATGCTATATAAGCAAATCAGAGAACATAGATGCTTTGGGTTAGAGGTTGTTCAATTCCTTGTTTCATCACTGCAATGCAGATTATTGAGTTTTAGTATGTACACTGAAAAAAAACTTTGAGAAGAAACAATTTTCTCATAAATTGCTAACATTTCGCCAGCAGAAACGGCAGAAAAATCAGAAAAATTAAACATTTAATTGTAAAACATAACAATTATTTCCAACTTATAATTTTCCCTGTGTAGATTCAGATTATTCTGTTTCTTTCTCTTTTTGTAGGTTAATGCAATTTATTTTGCACATAGTCCTGCCCTTAATTTTGCACATAAATTGACTGTTTTTTTAGTCATAAACTGTCATAAACTATTTTAGAGTTGGTTCACCCAAAAATGAATGAATATTAAATCACCCTCATGTCATTCCAAACCTGTAAGACTAGTTCATCTTCGAAACACAAATGAAGATGTTTTAATGAAATCTGAGAGCTTTCTGTCCCTCCATTGACAGTCTATTCAAATACCGCTTTCTTTGACGCTTCAAAAAGTTCATAAAGATATAATAAAACGGATCCATATGAATTGAGCGGTTTAGTCCCAAATTTCTAAAGAGACTCAATTGCTTTATATGATGAACAGATTTAGGCTTTTATTCACATATAAACAGATGTTTATATGTGAATAAAAGCCTAAATTGAATCTGTTCATGTCTCTTCAGAAAATTTGGACTAAACCGCTCAATTCATATGGATTAGTTTTACAATCAAAGTGGTAGTTGAATAGACAGTCAATGGAGACAGAAATCTCTCAGATTTCATCGAAAAGATCTTCATTTGTGTTTTCCGAAGATGAATGAAAGTCTTAAAGGTTTGGAATGACATGAAGCTGAGTAATTAATAACAGAATATTCATTTTTGGGTGAACTATCCCTAAAATATTATTATGCATACTACCCAATGTTGAGCATTGCAAATATTATTGCAAGTCTCTAAATATTGTGTGCAGGAGGAAGATGGTGTGGTCAGGAAAGCTGTGGAACATGAACAGTTTTTATGCATGAGAATTCAAGTGTACATTTGAGTTTTCAGAATATCAAAAGAACCATCTCCTGTCATTCCTCAACCCAACCATCAAAGCCATTTCAGCCTCAACCTTTAACCCCAGCCTCCCTCCACCCTGCCAAAATAATTCCTCTGGAATGTCTGTCCGTGTTTCTCTTACTCACTATAGCCGTTTAACCGGAGGCTTAGCTTTGCAGTTTCTACCCTGAGCCTCAGATTTCACGGGATATGACTCAGCAAATCTACCCACACAATTCCCCTTTCTCCTTTTTTTCTGTGTCCATGTTTTAACTCCGCTTCCTCTCAAGTTCGTGCTTGCTGAGTGCACGCTATTTTGCTCCTTTTGTACCCAAAGGAATGTGTTTTTCATTTGCTGTCCTCAGAAAAGACATGACCACAGCCTTTTCTGTCTATAGCCCAATTACCATAAAAGTTAAAGATTGTATGTTTCACATTGTATAATGTGCTTTCAAAGTTCAATATTCTTTATTGTCACATCATTAGATAGGTGGTAGTTGTACAGTACAGTAAGAGTAAAATGAAGTATTACAACCGCTATTTCCATTCTTATATACAATATTACAAAAGCTTATAGTAGTATACAATACAAAAAAGTTAGCTTATAAAAATAAATATAGGAAACAAAGGGATATTTTAAAGATGTAAAAAAACAGAATGGGAATGGGTTTTTATATAGATTTGATGCAGTGACTCCCTCTGGCGGTGACTATTCACTGTTTGTTTTTTATTTCTCTTCTCTTAGTAAAGGAGTAGTTTATATGGTAGATTGGATAAGTATATGGCAAGTTTTCTCGTGTACTAGTCATTTTCGTTGAAATAGGTGTATTTAGCGAAAGTTCCGCAGCTTGAAAAAGCTCGACTCTAGAAGCTTGGGAGCGTGTATAAATATACGTTTTCCTCATCAATAATAATTACTTTCCCCAGACAGCCAATCTGGTTGGCTCAAAGGCAAGCGTGGGCGTGTGGCGCTTGTCAGCTGGCCAATCAACGTATAGCGAAGGCTTGGCTCATGAATATTAATTACTTTCCCCAGACAGCCTTGCCGGTTGGCTCAAAGGCAAGTGTGGGCGCGCGGGCGCTAGTCAGCTGGCTAATCAACGCTTGGTCAATGAATATTAATTTGTTTTTCTGACTGACAGCTCCAAGAAATGTTGAATGAGCTTTTTAATATCTACATGAGCTTAAGCCTTCATTGGGGTTTTGTAATTTCATAATTTCACCGGAGGAGGAGCTTCGCGTGCTCGGAGTGGCACAAACATGGCCACCTGGTAAAACCATAACACAAGCGAAACGGCGATGCTCTGCTGCTAAATCTCGCCTTTAGATCGTGTAAATGAGAGTGACAGCTCGGATCAGACTGGGATTCAGATGCTGACCATGTTCTGGTGCAGTTTACAAACCGGAGTTACCGAAATTGTGTCGTTTGATCTGATTGCATCACTTGGATCATTGCACTAAACAGAAAAGGCTTTAGGTATGTGATATCTGTGAAAGGTCTAATATGCGTTTAGAGCTTGGATAGTATTTCATACTTTATGCTCAGATGTGACGATGTTGTGAAGGCTTGGGTGTGTTTTTCACCGGTAATTGTGGATGTCTGTCAAACCCTGGCTTGAGCTGCCTATACTTTGGATCAATGCTCCCAAAAATGATGCATAGACAGTAAGCTGACTAGTTTTGGGTCATTTGTGCTCATTAGGGATTGGTCATTGATGCCTCATGAGTATGAATGTATATGTAGGCACTCACAATTTAATATATGAAAATATATGCAGTCTGTGTAGACTGCCCTTTATGAGCAACATATGTAAGAACTTGGAAGACACTTATGTCCTTTTTAAACAAGTAGTTTACATTATTAGCACACACATGTCCTTAATACAAAAGTAGTATACAGTACATAAATATAACATGATTATATATATTGAGTTACGGATCGGATTATTTTTCGGATCAGCAAAGTGAACAGTCAGTAAAAAATGCAATTGCATGGATAAATGCAATATAGCAAAGTTACAAATACAGTAAGGTCTAACAGTTGTATTCAGGTACAGAAATGTTATAATTAAGTGTAAAATAACACTGCGAAGTTGTCACTGTATATGCTAAATATGGATTTAACTTTGTTAAAGCGGCCTTTTGTTATGCGATTAACATAAACGACACAGAGAGCAGGTATTTATAGGCTACTGTCACTTTAAGACCTAAAGGCAAAGATCCAATATAACGATAAACATCTGATTTCTTTTTCAACTGTTTACGTTCACTTAAAGTCACCGTGAACCAGAAGTTGTGACTGACTTCTTCAGTATTGTGAGGTATTTTCCAAGCAAAACGGAATATTGAATGAGAAAAATAAACGGCGTTGCTTGTTTTTTTTCCTGCTGGGAATTGATTGGATCTAGAAAAGTGGGTATCCATTCAGCTCGCTGTCAAAGCTTTATTTATATAGCGCTTTTTACAATACAGAGTGTTTCAAAGCAGCTTTACAGAGAAAACAGGACAATAATGCAATAAAGTTTCTCTGTGCAAGATTTACTCCCATCAAGCAGTGAAATTCTATTTGCATTCAAACAAATTGTGCTCTCCAGCGCCTCGCTTTTTCATTGTGTATTGGATCTACGGTAGCCATTATGTACCAAAAAGCTGTGTGTGCATTTCGTTTAGTTTTCCTTCAGTTTGTAATTTTCAAACAAACCGCAACTTGACACAGCGAACAAACAAATGTTACAGTATGAATTACTGACTGTGAAAAACATGAACTATTGTAATTAGTATTTATGCCAATGCTAATGCTCGTCACATTAGTCACACAGAAATAAATTAGAAAGAGTTCCCACTTCTTCAGTCACGTCTGTTTCTGTTTATTTGGTAACTTAGTTACAGGACTTCTTTCTAAATGTGATATAAATATGTCCTGTAACTAAGTACTAAGTTACAGGACACATCGGGACGGGAGCTTTACCTCTCTCTCGACTCCCAGTAGGCTACAGATATTTTCAGTCAGAGGAAAAGAGGAAGCTGCCGAAAAGAAATTTGCTTTATTTTATGGTAGTCGGGTATAAAGAGACGAGATGTAGGCTATCTGATTGATAAAATAAAAACCTGATTGTGATAGCTTTTATGATTGGTCTGATTTCTTCAAACGTTCACCATGTTTTTTTTTTTTACTATGCGCTAACAATGCAAGAACAATCATATGCTCTATTAAAATATATTCTTATCGAATTTCTAGGTTACAGAAAGTAAAATAAAAAACATTGTTTTTAGCACCTTTTCTACTTTACTCAATAGCTGTTAATGTTATTCATCAAATAGTCTGTTTAAACTTTCACTATGTTCGAATGTAAGGAAAAATGCTTGTAATTTAGACTGTAACAGACTTGCGTGTCGAGAAGAAAGCAGGTCCGATTCTCGTCTGATTCTGCTGCTTCAGTTCGGTCAATCGTGATGTTGGCTCTGAACGAAACCGCGCTGTGGAAACGCGTTTGCTTATTACTTTTTGATCCTCTCTGCTATTATAGTTTTTCAAGATGGCGGAATGACATGGAAGCCTCCGTGGACTTACCCGTCCCATGTATATAAAGATACTAAATTCTTAGTTTACAAGGATAATTGGCAAAGGTTTTTGTACACCATTGAGGACATATTTATGAATAAAAATATTGATTTAAGATAACAAATTACATAAAAGATACACACAGTCCCTTTAGGTAAGTAAAAGTAATGAATGCCAGTTTAGAGGTGATGTACGTTTTCCAATTTTGATCAAAGATTACAGAATTTTTTTTTTTTATTTGTTCGCCACAATATTATTTTTTAAATATATATATAATACTGCATTCTGTGCAAGTGTGTTTTTTTCCTTCATTAAAGTTTGTGATCTAAGTATTAAATGTGATTATTTGGTTTGGTATATTACAGTAAACCCCTCCTGTTCACAGTCTCTGCATCAGCATGTCAGACTCAGATTATAGGAGATGTTTGTGGGCTGACAGTATGTGACGTTGGTGTGTTCTTCCCTTCTCAGTGTTGAACCCCTTCTGCCTGAGTCTGGGATCGTGGCAGATATTGAGGTGGAAGGCTTTTTATCCACCGATTCGGACACCTTCTACGAGCTCAAGAGTCAGCCCATCACCCCAAGGTGAGTCCACTGAATGATCCGATTATATAAATATACTTCCTGTTTATATGTCATCTACACATTTAGATTGTGGCCACATGCTAGATATGCTTATAAGAGAACCGCAATCATGTCTGATTTACTTCCTGCATACTCTAGAGTTAGAAGTTTTTTGTAATCATGTTTTGCCACATACCGGTTAGCTTTTTCAGCTTTACCCCGTGGGATTTTACTGACAGTGTGTTAATATATTTCTGAATTGTTGACATATTGTACATTCTTTATCATTCATTTGCTTATCGCTCATTATATATGATTACATATATAAGAGTTGTGTTTTTGTGCTCATGTGTGAGCACTGCATGTGTTTTCTGCGATGAGGCAGGTCAGTGCATGCTGTCCTTCAGGCGTTTAGATGGGGCGTTGGGTTTCTGTTGACAGAACTTCCCGGTGTCTGTTTCCAGGGACTTCCCAGTGATTCAGCACAAAACTGAACACCATGATCAGTCATAATACCTCTTTTTGCAGCTCTCCTTTCAAAAAAAAAAAAACATTGATTATGGAGTAATATGTTAAGGATAGTGGGTCAGAAGGGTTGTTTACTGGAAAGAATTACATAACCAAGTGTTTTTTAAGATAAATCAATTATAGAACCGGTTTCAAAGTTCACACGCCGCTGTCTCCCACAGTCTCTCAGCTCTTATCTGACAGTGTGATCTGCCTGACATGGTAATCTTTGAATTTTCTTTATAGCAAACAGTGTGTTTGAGGCAGCATGGTCTTGGCTGCTTGTTTTTTTTGTTCCCTCCAGGACTTCCCACGATGACTCATCACTAAAAGGGAGTCCGTGTGAAAGAAATGTGAAGGCTGTGTTGTTGGAAATGCAAAACTGTATGGAGAGATTTTATTTTGCTAGTTGATATAGCATCATACGCTAAGATACAAAGGACATATTATGTTTGTATTAGTCTCATTTGCAAGCTACTTTGGATAAGAGTGTCTGATAAAAGAATATGTATAAAAAGAAAATGTATCATTATGTTAGAGGAGTTGAACAAAAACTAGTTTCAGAGGTGGATCAAGTTTTTAAAAATGTACTATTTTATTTATTTTAAAATAACACAACTTTTTTTTCTTTGGAATAACATTCACTGATGAAAATAAGACTGTTTATTAAGTAAATATGTATTTTTCTGACAACATAAAATAGCATTTCCACTGCATTTAACTTCCATAGTGTGATGTATTTTAAATAATGTAGAGCAGGATTTGATAATATTCATCAGGATATAATTAAATCATTTTATTGCTTGCTATATTCAACTCAAACTTACATTTTGATCTTTTTCTTTAAAGTAGCATGCATAATAAGACCTTTTAAATAAGAAAAAAAAACTATTTTCATTCAATAGTTGTTGTTTTTTTTTTGACATTTGACAAATATAGTTTCATGATCTCATGAACGAGAGATCATTATTTCCGACCGTCTTGTGTTTTAAGTTGCTGTTCTCATGCCGTCTGTCTTAAATTGATCTTCATCTTAGCGGTGATCTCTCAGCCCTGTGTTTCAAAAATAGCATGTGGTAATATGATTACAGCACGGGGGTGTAGCGTGGTACTCTAAGCTTATTTACCTTCTCATCGTCTGCCCCCGTAGTGGCTCTCTGCCCTCTGCTGACCCCGTGACCCCAACCGGCTCAGTGATGACGTCACGCGTGTTGATGAGGCAGGAGCTGATGCGACAGCAGGCTCAGGACCAGGAGAGACGAGAGGCCCAGAAACAGGCGTCCAGCGCTTTACAGCGCCATACTGACGCCACCCCTGCCATCTCCGTCACCTCCGCCCTGCCTGCCACCCCGGCCCAGGTGCCCGTGGAAGTGCTGAAGGTATCACATGACAAATCAACATCAAATATGATGATTTGGATGTTTAAATATGGTTTACCACATTAGGGGGAACTAAAGTTGTCATGTGTTTGAATCCCAGGTTCAAACTCACTTGGAAAACCCGACAAAGTACCACATCCAACAAGCTCAGAAGCAGCAAGTGAAGCAATACCTCTCTCACACCCTTGGCAATAAAATAGCCATTCAGACGCTGGCAACATCTCCTTCGCCCCAGCCTGCCTCTGCCCCTGAGTTGGCCCCTGCTGTCAGTAGCACTCCCAGCAGCCCACTGGCTGTGCTCAGCCTTGGATCGAACAAAGAAGAGGTACAAACTGAACCCAGATCAGATCTTTCTGTTATAGAATGTGTATTGCCAGTAATGTGGTGGATTTAGTGAGATTTTTTTTTTTAAAGAAAGAAATACTCCTATTTAGCAAGGATGCATTAAATTGATCAAAAGTGACAGTAAAGACATTTATGATGATACAAAGGATTTCAGTTTCAAATAAATGCACAAAAATATGGAGTAGCACAACTTTTTTTTTTTTTTTTTGATAATAGCAAATCAGCATATTGAATGGTTTCTGAAGGATCATGTGACACTGATGACTGGAGGAATTATGCTTAAAATTCAGCTTTACTTCACAGGAATAAATCAAGTTTTAAAATAGGAAAGTTATATGAAATTGTAATCATATTTCACAATAGTGTTTTTTTTACTCTACTTTTGCTCAAGTAAATGCATCCTTGGTGAGAATAAGAGACTTCTTTCAATGATTTTTAATCTCCAAATGATGCAAGTTTAACATTAAATCATGACAATTATGTTATTGTAAAGATAAGAGGCCTTGAGCCAATGCCATAACAAACAGATGACCCATTTACACAATCACTGACAGCATAACGTAATGCTCTGGCCTACTTTCACATGCACTATTACAAAATCTGTACTCTCATCGCACAGTAACTAGATTTTAGTGTTACTTGTTACTGGCTTGATTCTAGGCTGTTATGTGTGGTTGCCAGGGTGTTGCTATGGTGGTGTTGTGAGTGTTTTCAGGGTGTTTCTATGAGGTTGCTAAGGTGTTCAGTGTAGTTTTACACTGATTCCCAAAGTCTGTTATATAGTGTGTGATATTCAGGCTATGGTCCCGTTTTCAATGTAAGCCTAGGTGTACTTATGCCTGCTTGGGAAAAATCATCTTTTGATTGCCTAAAAAAGCAACTGTTACCTATGTAAAGTGCATTAAACTTGTTTAAAGCACAGCTAGCCATGCATGGATTATCCCCCTTATACCATGATCATTTGCCAGCATTGACAACTTAAAGCTGTTATCGATGTTTGCAGCGCAATATTTACCGGAGAAACTGAGATAGACAGAAAGAGAGAGTAACAGCGAGAGATACAGAGTAGAGCCCGACCGATAAAGGATTTTGAAGGCCGATACAAATATTTTTAGGTTATAAAAACCGATATTCCGATATATCGGCCGATATTTTATTTATTTATTTTAAACTGGACATGATAGTCACACATTTTGTCATGCTTATTTGAGTTAAGAAAACTGATGTGGATGTTCTTTTAATTGTCATTCAATCAATGTATGTCTCGTGACCAACTCAACGAGTGTTGCCAACAGGAACAGTGAAGAGTGCCCTCTGGTGGACAAACTATACAACTCCAACACTCATGACATGGTTCAAGCGTGTTTCGCCTGTTTTTATTTTAGTTTTAAAAGATTCATTAATCGGACATTATAACTGCCGATACCGATAGTTTGGAAAATGCCTAATATCGGCCGATAATATCGGTCTGCCGATATATCGGTCTGGCTCTAATACAGAGATATGAGTACGTACCTGCATCTGTTCAGTATCTCTCTCTATCAACAACAAAGCTTTACGTTTAATTACTTCAAAATAGAGATGTAACCCTCTTGTTGCTAAGAAATGTAATGTAGACTTTTATTAATAATAGTCACAGGGTAGCATTAATAAGTGTCTGTGCTCCTGAATGTTTCCGTGTGTGCGCAGCTCGATCTCTGCTCTCTGTGTGCGAGTGATGTATGCTTATGTGCATTTCAATGAAAACAGTACTAAAACAACTTGTACCAAGATTTTACATATAGTATCTCAAATCTGACCCAGATCTGTTGTAGTAAGATAAACCCCGTTCACTTTCATATTCTGTTTGTGATATAGCTTGTGTGAGAAGTCAAAGTTCAGTGTTATCAAACAATGCTTCATTGAAAGGATAAGGTGTCACCAGCTTTTACTTTAGGCTGCTTATTTTGCTAGTCATAGTCTGTGAATTTCACATGCTTACAAAACTGCACTAACCTGTAATTATTGTCCTAATAATCTCAAGTCTTAAGCCGTTTAGAGCACGCTAGACAACTAATTAAATGTTTGGCTCTGAGACTCGGAAAGATTCTTTTGAAGAATTTGCCTCGCGTTTACTAAATACAATAGTGCGCTTTGTCAAGTCGGCGTGAAGTCGGCCAGACTCTCTCTGGCACTTTTGCTTTTGGTACCACATTGTGCTAGTAAATATAACACTCAAGCCTCAATGACCCCTGCACACTTTGCACTTGGTGTGGGCTTGGCTATTAAAGCCTTTCAGTCCTGTATTTCTCCTTCTCAAATCTCAATCAAAACCACTGGCTGCTAAACCCTACGATGAAATACAAGCTTGCTGAGGTTGGAGACTTTTATCAGACTTTAAATGGGATGTCTTTATTTCTCATCTCCATGTGGCCGGTGTGTCACTCTGGAAACTGCTGTGTAGTGTGTTATTTAGACATCCTTCTGCCTTATGACTCAGTATGGGAGTCACACTTTAAAGCAGATTTTTGTGCTAGAAGGACTCAGACATTTGCATCTACAAGTCCTGCTAAGCTGTTTTTTTTTTTTCCTCTCTTTTCGATATGCACAGATCGAAGACGTCATTGATGACATCATCAGCCTGGAATCGAGTTTAAACGATGAATTTATGACTCTGATCGAATCGGGTTTGCAGCTTCCCAACACGGTATGTTGCAACATCCTAAATTCTATTGAAGATCAATTGAGCAACGCATTCATTTCATAAGATCTGTTTGGGTAAAGTTTGTTTTGCATCACACTTTGTAACAGATCTTACATGCATAGTGTTTTTTTTTTTTTTGGATAATTCACTAATGATGAGGAAACAGCCATTAGTAATAGTTCCCATATTTACTCATTAGTCTTTTGCAAGCAAATTTGTCACCAAGAGAATCCTGCTCTGACATGCCATTGCTTTGGAAATACAATTTCTGTTTTCAAATCAGTAATTTTCAGTTGAGTCCTCTGGGAGGAGTTCAGGTAGAGGCGCTTGTGTAACCAGTTACGATTAAAGGTTAACTTAGGCTCATGGGTTTCTGCATTGTCAGTGAAGTGTTTGCATTCGGGACGTTTGGGTTGAATGTGGGCTTGAAACACTGGAAGCAAATATAAACTTCTGACACATGGCTCACAATGGGTGGGGTCGGCACACCGCGGAGGAGTGACAGAGAGCTGCCGCACACACACACACACATACAGAAACAACCGACCATTCAACTTGTGTGTGTGCACGAGCTGATTTCCGTGGCGTTTTTAATACTCCAAAAGATATTTCCTCATTTCTAAACGTCCCTTTTCACGGAGAGACACACAGAAAGAGGAAGCACTTTGCGAGTGTATAAGAGAACATGAGGATTCTGGTTTTACTGCCGGAGAATGAAAAGAAAAAGGGCCAGATTGAGGTAAATTTAGCACATTTAATCTCTCTACCTCATTGCCTCTCTTGTCACTATCTGTTTAAATGCTGTGTGATGATGGTAGGTTTGTGTTTTAGTTGCATTACGAGACAGAATGGCATGTTTTATGACAGTTTAGCATGTTTGGAACAATCTGATGGGTTTATTTGAGCATGTTTTGGCCAAGATATCCCTCAGAAACTTTTGATGGATTTCACATAATTGTTTTTTGCACAGGTTTTACAAATCAAAAGTCAACTTTCAGGCTAGCTCGGTTTTTAAAGATGAAGGAAATGTGTTTTCTGTTAAACCTACGTGTTTGAAACTTCAAACATATTTATGGATCTTATGTAACTGGTTTAATAATTCAAAAAATGTCTGACTTCACTCTCAATGCAGCTTGTTGTTGAAATGCAAGCAGAGCAAACTTCATTTGTTTTAATTTTTTTCACATCTAGTATGAAATTATGGTTAGATGTGTCGTTTTATGTTCTCAAAAGTTTTAGTAATCAAAAGGTTTTTTTTTTACCGCCAAATTAATTTATATTTATTCATATAATTGTCCTTGCCTTGTCCAGTTTGTTTCACTTTACATATAAACATGCTCACAAGAACCGTTTGGCCATTGTGAAAGATGTTGCCCTTCAGATAGGAAGGTTCATTTTTGTGGTGAACTGAATGAAGGTTATCCATACCCTGCACCATGTGTGATGAGGGGGCCTCTCACTAGATAATGCCGTGGGCGGGGCCCTGATTTAATGCGTTGTGGTTGGTTTTCAACAGCTGCCAATCTCAGGAAATCTCCTGGATGTGTACAGCAGTCAGGGCATGGCGGCGCCCACCATCACCGTCAGCAACTCCTGCCCTGCAGACCTGCACAACGTCAAGAGAGAGTTTACCGGTGTGTGGCCTTCCATCTCTTTATCTCACTTCTGCTTCTTCCTCATTTCTCTTCACCAACCAGTCGACTCAGTCTGACTGTATCAGCAGAGTTACACACCACAGATTTGCCATTTCCCAATTTCACCGCAGTTCCCAGTCGAGATCTGTTCACGCGCGCATAAAAATATAATCATTGATTCATGATTCATATGATTCATTATTGAATCAGTGGATATTTGTGCTTTTGCAGAACTTGTGACTAAGTAGTTAGTGTGAATAACCATCATTCATCAGCCAGCGCGCAATAAAACGATAATTATAGAAGTAAAACTTGTGTTTTAGTAGCAATCGTAGTAAATTAGCAGTGTTTTATTAGACTGTTGGAAAGATGGGAGGGCAGGTATGATTTGTGAATCTTAGCCCATGTTTACACAGCTGCAGAATTTGTTTGAATACGTTTGTCTTGTATTTGAGTTCTTAATATGTTTACATTTGCACACAGTTCAGTTGTTTATAGGTTATTTACTGTGGTTGTCACGGCCGGCTCACAAGCCGCGACAAAGAAGGGAATGACACGTAAGATTTAATGCAAAAGGAATAACATTTATTAAAGTAAAAATAAGAAAATAGATCAAAATGAGAACAAGACAATAACAAAAGCAACAAAATAATGGCACGAGGGGAGAGCGCGCCCGTCACGACTGAAGGGAGCTGCTTTTATTTGCCGGCATCAGCTCTTAACACAGGTGAACACCATCAATCCATCATGACGTCACTCACTCCAACTCCGACCTACAAATCAAATGACAAAAACAACCAAAACGACATAATATGACCCAAACTGGGGTCGTAACATGGTCTTAACTACTGACTCCAGTCTGAACTATTTACATGTTTTCATGTGTAGTTTCGGTATACAGCAACAGAGATATGACCTGTGGGTTTAATATCCGGTCACAGTTCTCCACCGGCACTGCTCATGCCAGTTTTCACTTTTCAGACTCAAATCCTCTGCTCTCCGCCCAAATATAAAAGCTTCTGTCGGTTAATGAAGATTTGATGAGTGAAATAGCTGCTCGAATGGACTCTGATCGTGTCAGAAATGATAAGACTTTGTCTTGTAAGTGATTTTATGGACATTGCCGTCTTTGATATTACTTTGGTCACTTTCATTATGGTTACAGGTAAGAGAAAACGGGCTTGACTCCCATTCATGTTCATTCATTCATGCTACTGTAAGTTGCTGTGTGAACAGGACATTTTGAGCCTATTTAGCTAACATAAAATCTTAAAAAATGCAGTGAAATACATCCTTGTACCTCGGTTTACTATCAGAAACCGTTATAAACGAGTTATTTGTTGGTTGATTCCACAAAAAAATCGCACATCTCATTCAGCCCTACACCGTAACCTGTGGTATGGGACCATCTATTTGCTTGACCAATAGCATTTTTGTGGCAGCTCTGTCTGGTGATGTTAGTGACAAAGAAATGGCACACTTCCCCTTTAAAATGTAATCTAAATTTCCTTGGTATTTGTTTTATAGATGCAGAGGCAAAAGCTGTTATGAAGGAGAGGCAGAAAAAAGACAATCATAACCAGAGTGAGTTTTGATTTCTTGAAGATTTGATGTGCAGTTTGTTTTTATCTCTGAAATATGTCATTACCATCTGCACATAATAACCTGAAGATTAACCGTCATTGGTAGTGTATAAGGAAGTAAATTACATTTCTGTTGATCTGAAACAACTTGTCTGTCTAGTTGTTCCCATCCATTGAGTGTGTGTGTGTGTGTGTGTGTGTGTGTGTTTTGTAGTTGAGAGAAGAAGAAGATTCAACATTAATGACCGCATTAAGGAACTTGGAGGTCTCATTCCAAAATCCTCTGACCCGTCAGTATCTCTGCTCTCATTCTCACTTCTCTCTGGTTTTCAACAGTAATCATATGCACTGCTGAATGTATTCAGTTATAAAGGTCATTTAAATTATAATGACTCTGAGGTACAAAATTATAAGACCATTTCATTGTTTACATTTTGTTTAGTCCTAAATGTTTTTAGTCATAGTTGTATTTGTCTTATGTAGAGTATTTTTTGGATGATTTCATTCAGTGCATGCTTCTGTAAGAGTATCTGCATTTGTTTTCTCAACAGCGAGATGCGCTGGAACAAGGGCACTATACTAAAGGCGTCGGTCGACTACATCCGCAAGCTACAGAAGGAGCAGCAGAGAGCCAAAGAGATGGAGATGAGACAGAAGAAACTTGAACACGCCAACCGCAGTCTGCTGCTGCGCATTCAGGTATTCTGCAGCATAGATATACACACTTTAAACTCTTGGACATCTTTAAATTCATTCCACAGAGTTATTTTATTCACTATTATAGTTTTTGTAAATATTTACAATTAGGTTTTTTTTTTGTTGAGTTTATATTAGGGCTGTCAAACGATTAATCGCATCCAAAATAAAAGTTTGTGTTTACATAATATACGTGGGTGCACTGTGTATAATGATTTTGTATATATTAATACACACACATGCATGTATATTTAGTAAAAATATTTATATATAATATAAATCTATATACAGTATATACATGAAAATATTTCTTAAATATAAACATGTGTGTGTTTATATAAAATAATTATACACAGAGCACCCACATATATTAACACAAACTTTTATTTTGGATGCGATTAATCGCGATTAATCGTTTGATAGCCCTAGTTTATATTAGTAATTTTTATGTGCTTTTGTAATTGTAATTATTTTGTTTGTTTTTTTCATCTAATATTTATAATTTTATTTGATTTCAGCTTAATTAACACTTTTTAATATATATTTTTAAAAAGCAATAAACTGAACAGAAAATGTATTTTTTTACGTGTGTAAATGTAAAATAAACTGCACAGACAATTCCTTCTCCTTATTTATTGATTGATGATGTCATTTAACACCTTATTGTATATTATTTTTTATATCATTCTTGGTGTGAACAAGCCTTAACTGTCAAAAAAATGGTAAAAAAAAAACAACCTCTAATGGATTTAAAGAGGGAGACACACACTGACAGTGGTTTAAATCACTGGAGCTCAGCGAGTCTCTGTTCTGTCAGTTTCTAGTAATAGCAGTTTGACCTTGACCTTGTGTATTCCTTGACCACTGGTAGTCTCCGCATCAGACCATCGCTCATTTGCATAACGCTGACCTTTGTTCAACTCTCTGTCGTTTTCTTTCAATGCCAAAAATCAACATTCTTATTAAAACCTAATGTCTTTAGGCCACCCTGTCACCTTAATACGAATGTTCCTTCAGTTGAGTTTAATGATTGTGCCTGTGTGATCGGCAGGAGCTGGAAATGCAGGCTCGTCTCCACGGCATGTCTTCATCTCAGATCTCTGACTCCATGCTCCAGCCGCAGACTTTAACCCTGAATCACATCCCCAGCCATGACCTCTCCAAGACCCTTCTGTCCCTCAACCAGGCCACGCCCTCTTCTTTCTTGTCTCCGCCCTCTTCTACCTCCTCAGTGGGAGGGGTGGTCACCAGCCCTCTGGACCTCGGGACACTCAGCTTCGGCGAGTTAGATGACCCCTCTGCCTCCGTGTTTAGTCCATCCCTGATGGCGGAAATGGGGTTAGGGGATATTTTGATGGATGACAGCAGCGCTCTGTCGCCTGTAGGGGGCGCCGATCCCCTGCTTTCCTCAGTCTCCCCGGGGGCGTCCAAAACCAGCAGTCGTAGAAGTAGCTTCAGCATGGAAGAAGACTTGTGATTGCTTCTATAAATGGGACGATAGTTTTGCTTTCAAGTTGCAAATCCTGCTTGCACGCTCCATTGTCGGCCAGTAGAGGGCAGTGTTATCCCAAGATCTTCATTAATCGCTGTACTGTAGAAGTCTCGTAAACAGAGTTTGAGATTCTCGAGACTTCTTTCTAGAGGTGACACAAATATGGAAAGACTTCGGGAGCAGACGCTGGTGTTTAGAGCCTCGTTTATTATCTGGACCTCTGACAAATATATAGAAGAATAAATGTACATAGAGTAGATTTAGTCCTAAACATCTATTTTGTGTTTTTAATATGCAGTTGTATGAAAAGTAGCACTATAATGTTAACTCATGGACACAAACCACATGTTGGGGAAAAACATGCCTGAATAAAAATATGATTATTTTTAGGTTAAGACCTCACTCAAATAGTGGGCTCCAAAAGTCTGAGACTTTAAACTTTGAAATATGCAATACGCAGGATTTTGAATCATAAATTGTGAGTAAATATATTTTTTTGATTCTGTGTTTGTCAGCTCATAGCGAAAAAAGACAAACCAAATACTAAGATGTTATCAGTTTAACTCTTATTGAAGAAAAAAAAAAATATTCAGCAAGGATGCATTAAATTGATCAAAAGTGGCTGTAAAGTCATTTATAGTGTTACAAAATATTTTGCCATCAAATGTCACTTAACAGATTCAACAAAAATAGTGGCTACAAATTTTGTTTTTCAAGTTAATAATAATAATAATGATTGATAATAATCAGAAATGTTTCTTGAGCAGTAAATCAGCATATTAGAATGACTTCTGAAGGATCATGTGAATTATACTGAAAATTGCATTTTAAAATATGGAAAACAGTTATTTTTAACTGTACTTTTAATAAATGAACGTTAAAAATGTTTACCGAGCCCAAACTTTTTAACAGTAGTGTAATTTAAAATTAGGGTTAATCGCATCCAAAATAAAAGTTTGTGTTTGCATAATATATGTGGGTGCACTGTGTATAATTATTGTATATACATAAATACTAAATACACACACATGCGCTTGTATATATTTAAGAAATATTTTCATGTATATACTGTATAAAGATTTATATATAATTTATATTATATATAAACATAAATATTTTATATATAAATAATATTTTTTTCTTAAATGTACATGCATGTGTGTGTATTTATATATATAAAATAATTCAGGGCACCCACATATATTATGTAAACAAAAACTTTTATTTTATTTGGATGCGATTAATCGTTCGACAGGCCTATTTAAAATGTATTAAATGTATAAATATCTCAGACTTTTGGAGCTTAAGTCAGTGTTTGTTGTATATGTAGCTCATCAAACATAAAAGGGACAGTTGTGTTTTATTTCCCTTTTTTAAATTGTGAATCCGTGCGTTTGTAAAGCAGCTCCTAAACGTGCTTTTAATGTCCTCAGGAAAACGCATCAGAGAAAAGAGAACATCCTGTTCGGCTCTTCTTTCATTTCCTGCTGGGACGTTTGTGTTCTCATGTGAAACTGGTGTTGATCGTTTCATGCGGAGGGTCTGAAAGGCGCATGTTTGGTTTACAGGGATCACCTCACACATTTACATCAGCATCTGTGCCATTGTTCGCCATTGCGTCTCGGCCTCCGTGATATTGATTTGATCCAACCGAGACTGGTCATGTGTTTATGTCAGATTGTCTATGCAAGTACTTTCATAGTGAAGTAGCAGAGGGTTGTGTGAGCAGATGACCGTCGCGTTTCCTTTGACATTCAAAGAGAATATTGCTGTTCTCTGCCAGAGAGCCAATCACATTAATGCGTCATTATCATGAGGTTGACTTTTATTACTCCAGTCTTTACATCCCTTATCAGGATTACGATGACATTCTGCTTTATTTATCTGCTGTTGTTGCTTTTCATACGTATAGGCATTAACAGTCGAATCCTGTTTAAAAGACAGTTTTGGAGCTGAAAGCAACGTAAATCTGAAGAAAAGCGCTTTTTATGAATCCGTATTGTGAGGTATGAGTTTGGCGTGATACTTCTAGGTGGCCATGTTGAAAACAGGTTTCGAATCACACCTGAATGATAAAATGTTTTTTTACCCTGTTGTGAATAGACGGATCTGAATATGTATGTTAGTAATAGCAAATTGTTTGAAATGTCTTTACATTACATATATACATTTATATAATATCTATATATTATGTGCTGATTTAGCACAGCGACTAATGTACATTCGGAAGAGTTTTATTTTACCACATATATACAGTAAATCATGCATTTAAGATGACATGAAATGTATTTTCACTGCTATTTAAAATTAGACATTGATAGCCAGAGATGGATTGTTTTAGAAGCTTGCTGGCAAAGAGGGAACGAGATTTACTTTTATCTGTAGATATGCAGATCTGTGTAATGAAAGCTTATTGCAGCACAGTTAACTTTAGGATCTCTGCATGTAAGTGTGATGTTTTTTTTTTAGTTAAGTCGTCAAGTACTTTTGTATATATTTCTTTGAAGCCTCCATGTTGGATGCCCGCCGATGGGGTTTGTCGTGCAGTTTCTGCCTGGTGAAATTTCCTCAATCCTGCCATCAGTTCTTTGTCGAAAACTTTGTTTAAAGATTCATTAGAAGACCTTTGAGTTCACTCTATACTGCAGGAGACTATTAGGCAGCGTTTACATTCATCTCATGATTATGTACTTGATAACATCCGGGAGATGTCCACTTTCCAGTCAGACTTGAGCAAAGGGAATGTGTTTGTCGTTTATGTATTTCAATATTTCCACAGTGCTTGTGGATGTTTATTCCCTGTATTTCCCTAACAACTTTGAAACGAGCAACCGTTGTGCAGATTTCTTTTTGTACTCTTGAATATGTAGATTTTTTTTTTTTACTTTTTAGGAAAACAATTATAAATAAAGTTGTAAAACAGCTATGCATTTGTATGAGTGGTATTTTTTTAAAGAAACTTTCTGTAAATGGTTAAATGTTCCATCCCACATCAAAAGTGTGAAAAACACTTATTTTTAGGATCTTTGTGTGTGTGTGTGTGTGTGTGTGTGTGTGTGTGTATGAATATCATTAATGATTCTCATTACTGTAATGCTAGTAAATCCTACTAGGATTTAATTACGCTAAATCTGAATACGTTTGCAAAAAAAGCAATCAGTTACATCAACACTTTAAAGAAAAGAAATCCAAAGATTTTTATTTTGTAATTATATATTTAATTGCTCTTAACTTCAAACATTTGAGTAAGCTAATTCATTCATTATCACGTAATCTCGACTTAAATAATTTAATAGTGGAAACTTGGTTAGCTCATGAAGTCAAAAGAAAAAGAAAGTTCTAAATACTCATGAAAGTTAATTTGATTGAAGTAATTTAAGTTTGCTCTACTCTAATTATTTGGAGCATTAGGGTTTATTTTTTATTTTTATTGAACTCAATAAATTTAAGACCATACAAGAAGTACTTTTAAGTCATTTAAATATGTCGTGGTGCTCGCATCAGAGGCCCGCGTCTTTATTTTTGTTAGTTTTTTTGTGCACAAACAGTATTCTATTCGCGTGATAAACTTAAGATTGAGCCACTGTAGTCACTTGGACTATTTTAACGATGTCTTTACTAACTTTTCTGGGCCAGCAGATGAAATTACCTTGAAGCCTATGGAGGAGTGATCCAGCTTTCAGATTCTCACGAAAGTCTTATGAGGGTGAGTAATTACAGACAGATTTGTCATTTTTTGGGTGAACTATCCCTTTAACAGCCTTTTAACAGAGTGAGAAGTTCTGTGAGAATTACTAAATAGCATTCACACACTGACTTATTTGTTCTGTTTGAGAAGAAAACATCCAGAATTTGCTCTTCGTTCTTGTTTGTCCAGCAGAGGGCGGCGATAGCGCGCGCCTTTGTGCGTCAATGACGTCACATCGTTAAATGGAATTACTCGTGTCTTCAATTTTTTTTTATTAGTAGGCTAATTATGGATGTATTAATAAAACTGCAGGGAATTCTGTCGTCATGTTGTCACTTAAGCTTTCTGGTGTGTGTCTGTTCAGTGCGTGTGTCGTTGTTTGTCAAACTCAGCACTGCTGAATATTAGCTTAGCCTGAACACAGAATAACGCCATATTATTGTTATTCCAGCTCTCCACCTCCCTGCTATAAAATGTGTTTCTGTTTCTTCTGAAATCTCACTTCCCCATATTAACTGTGTTAGTTTTGGATGAAACCTTGAGCCCACCCGTTGTAAAGTCAGACCTGCGGTGCAGCGATGCATTCTGGGTAGATCTTCTGGATAGTTTGTTTTAATAGTTCACTTGATCCTTCATCAGGGAGTGTTATTTTATCACAGATAGGATAGAAAGCACTCGGACGGGAGGTGTCCTCTTTGTCCTGAAAGATGAGATGCCAACGGGCTTGTTTTTATTAGCACTTGTGGCAGGCCAAGTGTGAAAATAATCAGCATCTCGGAGTAATTGAAATGTAAATCATAAATGTGTAATAAAATAGAGGCAGCCAAGTTGTTTACGCAAATAATTTTGTTTGCACAGGGGGGTATAATTATTTTGTTAAATTAATAATCAACTTCAATATTATGCATTAAAATTGATAATTAATAATTGTATTTTTTACACACACACACACACACACACACACACAAACATAGTTTTTAAATAACAATTAAATCATTTTCAAGCATATTTCAATTAATTTAATGATATACAATGTATAATAAATAATATAATAAATACTTTTAATGTAACTGAATGTTGTATGTTATATAAATTATATGTAGCTATATTCTCTCTCTCTCTCTCTCTCTCTCTCTATATATATATATATATATATATATATATATATAAACTGGATTTTATTTATTTATCTTTTGCAGAGTTGTTCTTTGTTCCTTAGAGTGTTCAAAGAAGAGAAACACCATTAACATAAAAGACAGAAGTATTAAACTTGTGTTAGGTGTGCGTTTTAAAGGCCAAATAAAGGAAGTTATGATTATTTCTTCACCCCTTTTGAATGTTGCGGTGCTCCTCAGCCACGAAGAATCTGCAGAGTTTGTTGTTCTTCATGGGCGAGAGTCTTCAGGACGTCAGCACTCTTTCTTCTCCAAAACCTTGAATGAACAAAAGGAGTATTGTGGTCATCCATCTGCGAACCCATCATGCCGGCCTGAGGGAAAGACGTCACAGACTGTGTCACGTCACCAACTTTCCTTTTAATTACATCTTTTAACCATTTGGGAATAGCGAACACTATTAGTTGCGGTTTTCCAAGTGGAAATTTTTGCCCAATCTCACCTGAAACAAGACGGATCTGGACGTCACATTCCTTCTATGGTGCACTGTAAAAATTAATACGCTTTATCTAATTTAGAAAATTCTGGCAGATTAAATTTAACAAATTAGAATTGAGTAATAATTAATCAAATTAACCTTTAAAAGTTGTAAAGTGATAGTTTACACCCAAAAATTTAACAAAAAAATCTGAATGACAGACAGACGTCAAATATATTTTATTGCCAATATTGAAGACATCTGATGTTAACAAGCAAAATTACTGAAGGAGAAAACTGTAATTTTAAAACAATCCTAAAACAAACACCGATCACCATAATGGTGACTTAAATGTACGTTTTTTGTTTGTTTGTTTGTTGTAAGTTTTACTCATTTTAAATGGTTAACTTTGAAGGAATTAGTTGATTAATTATTACTCAATTCTAATTTGTTTAATTTAATCATATTGTATAATAATATTGCTTGTAATCTGTTGCCATTTTAAAACAGATTTGCTAAAAAATTTTTTGATTAGATAATTGCATTTCTTGATCCAGACTGTTGGGTGAAAGATTCACTGAATCTTTCCACAGTATTATGTATGGTAGATGAAGAAAGACATAGGCTACTTTGCAACCTTTCATTGAGAAATGTGATTTTTGAATTGTTTGACAATTCTCTCATGAAATTTGGCACAAAGTGGTGAGCCATGACCCATCTTTCCTTTTATCCCCAAACATACATGACCACTTACTTCCGCATTCTGTGAATGTCGCATCGCTTCCGGTCCAGGTCTTTTGTACGGGCTTCATGATTTTTTTGCGGTTTTACTCAAGATAACTTAAAAGGAGCGAGCAAAGATTAGCATAACCAATGTCCCTCACGTGTGCAGATTGATATTTAAACGTTTTATTTTTTTTCTCATTCACAGTAACGTTTAGATATTTAAATGGAATATAAAGCCAATAACAAAGTGAACTAGGTAGGTTAGCTGATTACCTTAAAACACATAGATATCGTAGTCAGGTCTTACGGCCGTCTGTCAAGCGGATGCGATAAGGCCTGTTTTCCCGTTTGGTCACGTGACGCTCGACATAACGCTTATTTACCTTCTAATCATGGACTGTTTCAAAAAAGTTGAAATCTTTTTATTTTGCCTCTGTTCCACCTTTTTTTGGAGTGTGTTGTTGCAGCCATCAGAATCCAAATGTATTTATATTTACAAAATCAAATTTATTTGCCCAGTGAAAACAATGAAATGTTTTAGAGAATTAACAAATTGCGCTTTGTCCCAACTTTTCTGGAATTGGGGTTTTAAATGAATGAAAGTCAAATGTGATCTTCAGTTTCATTTCTGCTACAAGTTTACTGTAACAGAAATCAAATCTAAAGATGTCACCAGAACAGAGCCACTGTTGTACTGACTTGATGAGCTCTGGCGTGACAGATGTAGGCTAGTGAAACTGTGTTTTGTCTATTTTTGCGCAGAGATGCTGAAAGCTGCTTCCTGTGAGCGGCGGCTCTTTGAAACACAGGGCAGGAGCGTTGGGTCAGAACCAGACCTGGATTAGGGTCGTGTGGGCCTATCCTGTCGCCCCAGCACTGTCATTTCAGTTACTTCCTCCACTTCCTGTTGACGCCACTTGGCACATCTGTACAATAAACACAGCCTTCCTGCCCCTCAGCCAGCAGTCCAGGAGGTAACACCGTCAACCTCATCACCGTTAAAACTCACAAATATATTGATTAATTTACTCTTTCTATAAATACACTACCATTCAAAAATTTGGGACGGTAAAAATTTTTTTTAACTTTTTTTTTTTTTAAACAGAAGTCTCTAAAAATACAGTAAAACAGTATTATTATTAATATGACAATTTAAAATAACTGCTTTTTATTTGTATATTGTTTTAAAATGTAATTTTCTGCATAATTTCTCCAGTCTTCAGTGTCACATGGTCCTTCAGAAATCATTCTGATATGATCTAATGCTGATCTGCTGCTCAAGAAACATTTCTCATTATTATCATATATGAACTCTGATTAATAGAAATTTAAAAGAACTGCATTTATTTGAAATCAAAAACTTTTTTAACATTAGAAATGTCTTTACTGTCACTGTTGTTCAGTTTATGAATGATGAAAAATAATAGTGTAGTTCATTTTTGTTATATATTTTATATATAAAGATAATGTTTTGCATTTTCATAGTTTATGACAAGCAATCTAATTTGCAATGGTATTTTTTCTATTTAGGTTTTTACAAAATATATATATATCAATGGATGGATGGATAGATAGATATATAGATCGATGGATGGATGGATGGATAGATGATAGATACTTTATTAATCATGGTTATCATCATGATACTTTATTAACATAGATATTTGTTCTACAACATTTTCAAATATTATACATTGTGGTTTGCTGACTTATATAATCAATAAGTCAGTGATATAGGGCAGATATGAAGGCGTTTTCAATGCGTTCACCCACAGCGAGATGCAGGGAGGGATGGAGGTCATCTCAGTAGAGCTTCTGTCGGACACACAGGTCTCTGTCCCACTGCCAGATTCAACATGAGCGCTTTCTCTCTCGAGCGGTGCCCACTGTCTAAACACTGGGCAGAGTCATCTGGAGACAGGCCGTGAAATTCAACATGCCCAGAGGAATATGCAAACGCTTTATAGTCATCCTGACTGGTTATTTTTGCATCGCTCAGGCTTCCTGCCACACACACTTTAGATAAAGAGTGCTGAGAACAGACAGAGAACAAAGATCCTTACGCCTTATTCTCAGCTGTCACGCAAAACGGTTACACTTTAAAAACAGAGAGTATTACAGGAGTTTGTTCAAAGCAAATTACTCTCTAGATTTATTTTCTATGTTGTATAAAATCACAGTTGATGAAGATGTTCAATGCATTAAGGTATTTATTGCTCATGCATGCACCTGTGCAGGTCGCATGTGTGCTATGAAACACTCGCAAGGATGGCAAAAGTATTTTGATCATAATGCACATTTCTAACCTTAAGTAGAAGAGTCTGACACATCTTTGAGCTTACTGGAGGAAAACTTCTAAGCTTAAGCTCTTAAAAGTGCAGAATATAATATAACTCTCATATGTTGTGATCACATGACCAGCTGAATTTGTGTGCATTTTACAGGGTCCTTGTTACATATGTTACAAGATTTACTGTTGTATAAATCCTACCCTAACCCAATAGCAAGTACATGTAATTAATTATTATTACGCAGTACTTAAATATATAATTACACTGAAACAAGGAAAAACGTAACCCATTTTAACATACAGTACAAACAATAACACACCTGTCTGAATTCAGAGAATAGCATACAGAGCAGTCCAACTTTGATCAATGCAACAAATTCATTCTTCATACTAAATAAATACAAAATGCGGGATAACGCTAACACATTTATCCGACACTTACGGTCCTTTGAGCACTTGATATCATTCTGTAGAGAATCCCATTAGGCAGGGAAACAGATGGAGCAGCATTCCAGGCAGATCTCCAGACAGTCTGAAGACTGGCAACAGTCCTCCAGTATCCCACAATCCAGCAGGGCAGAGCAGGTGTCCTCAGCACAGCACGCAAGACCTCCGGTGGCTGCTTCCCCGCAACAACAGAGAGCGTCACACTCCAGCCCGCAGGCCAAACACTGAGCCACGGCTGAACAGCACGACAGCACCTCGCAGAACAGACAGGCTAGTATGCAGTGCGCACAGCAGTCTGAAACAGACAGAAGCATTCAGTGTTCACGGAGGTCATCCACAGGAAAAACTGACATTTGTGCCCTGGTGATTTGTGATATAAAGTCAGAATTGCGAGATATAAAGTCAGAATTGCGAGATATAAAGTCAGAATTGCGAGATATAAAGTCAGAATTGCGAGTTATAAAGTCAGAATTGCAAGATATAAAGTCAGAATTGCGAGATATAAAGTCAGAATTGCGTGATATAAAGTCAGAATTGCGTGATATAAAGTCAGAATTGCGTGATATAAAGTCAGAATTGCGAGATATAAAGTCAGAATTGCGAGATATAAAGTCAGAATTGCGAGATATAAAGTCAGAATTGCGAGATATAAAGTCAGAATTGCGTGATATAAAGTCAGAATTGCGAGATATAAAGTCAGAATTGCGAGATATAAAGTCAGAATTGCGAGATATAAAGTCAGAATTGCGAGATATAAAGTCAGAATTGCGTGATATAAAGTCAGAATTGCGAGATATAAAGTCAGAATTGCGAGATATAAAGTCAGAATTGCGAGATATAAAGTCAGAATTGCGAGATATAAAGTCAGAATTGCGTGATATAAAGTCAGAATTGCGAGATATAAAGTCAGAATTGCGAGATATAAAGTCAGAATTGCGTGATATAAAGTCAGAATTGGGAGCTATAAAGTCAGAATTGCGAGATATAAAGTCAGAATTGCGAGATATAAAGTCAGAATTGCGTGATATAAAGTCAGAATTGCGAGATATAAAGTCAGAATTGCAAGATATAAAGTCAGAATTGCGAGATATAAAGTCAGAATTGCGAGATATAAAGTCAGAATTGCGTGATATAAAGTCAGAATTGCGAGATATAAAGTCAGAATTGCGAGATATAAAGTCAGAATTGCGAGATATAAAGTCAGAATTGCGAGATATAAAGTCAGAATTGCGTGATATAAAGTCAGAATTGCGAGATATAAAGTCAGAATTGCGAGATATAAAGTCAGAATTGCGTGATATAAAGTCAGAATTGGGAGCTATAAAGTCAGAATTGCGAGATATAAAGTCAGAATTGCGAGATAAAAAGTCGGAATTGCGTGATATAAAGTCAGAATTGCGAGAAATAAAGTCAGAATTGGGAGCTATAAAGTCAGAATTGCGTGATATAAAGTCAGAATTGCGAGATAAAAAGTCGGAATTGCGTGATATAAAGTCAGAATTGCGAGATATAAAGTCGGAATTACGAGATATAAAGTCGGAATTGTGTGATATAGAGTCAGAATTGCGAGATATAGAGTCAGAATTGCGAGATATAAAGTCAGAATTGCGAGATATAAAGTCAGAATTGCGAGATATAAAGTCAGAATTGCGAGATATAAAGTCAGAATTGCGAGATAAAAAGTCGGAATTGAGTGATATAAAGTCAGAATTGGGAGATATAAAGTCAGAATTGCGTGATATAAAGTCAGAATTGCGAGATATAAAGTCAGAATTGCGAGATATAAAGTCAGAATTGCGAGATATAAAGTCAGAATTGCGAGATATAAAGTCAGAATTGCGAGATATAAAGTCAGAATTGCGTGATATAAAGTCAGAATTGCGAGATATAAAGTCAGAATTGCGTGATATAAAGTCAGAATTGCGAGATATAAAGTCAGAATTGCGTGATATAAAGTCAGAATTGCGTGATATAAAGTCAGAATTGCGAGATATAAAGTCAGAATTGCGAGATATAAAGTCTGAATTGCGAGATATAAAGTCTGAATTGCGAGATAAAAAGTCAAAATTGCGAGATATAAAGTTGGAATTGCGTGATATAAAGTCAGAATTGCAAGATTTAAAGTTAGAATTGAAAGATTTCTTTTTCCCCCTTAGAATTGGGCAGATAACTGCAATTCTGACTTTATATCTCACAATTCTGAGAAAAGATGTCAGAATTTTGAGATATAAACTCGCAATTATGTGTTATAAAGTCAGAATTGCGAGATGTAAACTCGCAATTGTGAGAAAAAAAGTCAGAATTGTGAGGTAAAAAGTCGCAGAATTGCGTGGAAGCTTGTTTCCGCCATTCTGTCTTTTTTTCTCACAATTGCGAATTTATTACTCAGAATCGCAACTTTATATCTCGCAATTACGACTTTCTCAGAATTTCGACTTTATATCTCGAAATTGCAACATTATTTCTCGCAATTCTGACTTCATATCTTGCAATTATGAGATAAAAAGTCGCAATTATTTCAATGGTGGAAACAAGCTTCCTTAGAAAACAGTTGTGTTGCTTAATATTATTGTGGAAACTGTGATGCATTTCTTCTTTGATGAACAGATATAACATTGTTTTTTTTTTAACATTGTAAATGTCTTTACTGTCACTTTTGATCAATTAAATGCATCCATGCTGACATCATAATAAGGAAGTGACATCATAATTTTTGACCACATTGTTCAAACTTACACTTCTCTAATAGAGTTTAATTATGTTTGCATAAAATAAAAGGGTTAGGAATAAGGTTAAGTTACTGGCATGTAATAAATAATATATAATGTTATTACTATAATAAATACATAAATAAAGTGTTACCTTTGTTTTTCTAAAAGTAAAATCATTGAGGATAAATAATGTGGTTAATATGACCATTTTTATCATTTCAAGCACACCGAACCTGAGCGACACCACCAGAATACACTCATTCATCAGTTTAAATCTTGTGTATTCCTTTACAGCAGTTAAACAATTGATATCGTCAAAAAACATCAAGCCCTCTCAGTATTTAAATTCTCCAGATTAGATTATGTACCAGCTACTGTGAGTTAGTCATCAAACAGAAATGTGTGACCTAACGGAAAGAATTATCAAACGCTGACGTGAAGGGACCATAAAACACACGAAGATAAATCCAGCGGGCCGTCCAGTGTCACTGAAAGATAAGAGCAGGCCCTATATTTACGAACAGACCAGTGGGCGGAGGCCTCTTTTCAGATATGGCCCAACGTGCTCTAAAAATACATAAAAATATTGAAACAAAAATATGAACCCATAGGTGTTTTTATGACGTGTGTTCAATGCTTTTCTTACCGTCTCCTGCCACTCTCTGTATCTGCGAGGCATCGCCTTTGAAGCTCTGCTGGCTCATGGAAGTGGAGGGTGTGTGTTTTCTGTGAGGGTGTTTGTGTCCGTTGCACTTTGCATGTCGCTTGCATTTCTGTTGTGCTGAAGCACGAGGCGTCGATCCTCCTGATGAAGAAGCAGGCGGTTTGCAGATGATAGAAGAGCCATTGATGACAGGAGGAGACGAGCTATTGGGAAAACTGGGCTTCGCTGAAATGTTAAATTCACAATTGAATGTATTAAAAAAAATCAGACAATAGTACATTTTAATACATTACAATTTGTAACATATATATTCATACAATGCCTAACCGATTAGCATTATCTAGTCTATTAGCAATTAGTCTATTTCTGACAGTTTTATTACTATGTCTGGATTTATTCCTGTGCTAAGGAATAGTTCTCTCAAAAGTTTCTTGATCATCAAATTAGCATATTAGAATGATTTCTGAAGGACCATGTGACACTGAAAACTGGAGTAGTGTCAGGAATAAATGACATTTTAAAATATATATTTGCAGTAGTTTCAGTTTTTATATTTTTAGGTCAAACCGTTCCTGTCATATAATGCAGGTCTATGGTCACCACCTCAAAGAGCATGCACAGAGAAGTCCAAATTAAACATGATTTAATGATTCGTAAATGTAAGTACACATTGATGGCCTAAGACACGAAACGAGCGGTTTGTGTGAGAAAACGAACAGTATTATATCGTTTTTACCTCTTGTAACCACAGCCACAAAGCGCCCTCGCCCTCAGATCACTTGGACGTGGCTGTGATTACAAGAGGTAAAAACGATATAAATACTGTTCGCTTTCTCACACAAACCGCTCGTTTCGACTTCTCTGTGCATGCTCTTTGAGGTGGTGACCATAGACCTCCATTATATGACTGATAGACACGAACGGTTTGACCTAAAAATATCAAAATTGAAACTACTGCGGAAACAAAGACTCCTACATCTTGGATGCCCTTGAGGTAAGCTAAAACATACCAAAAATTAATTTCAAAGTGAACTATCCCTTTAAAAGGAAAGTGTGTAATTTCTTTACCTCTAGTGTCACTACACGGATTTGCAATAATGATCTCTGCAAGCGCCAAAAAAAGTGGTTAGATGATTTTCATTTTTTGTGTGAATTCATTCTTTAAATAATGAACTACCTTCTGATGCATAAAAATGTAAATACCGTTTGCTTTATCTATTTTGCGTGAAATTGTAGGTATATGGCCTGGAAGCAGTAAAGCATCATCACTTGATGTGACACCGTCTGTCAGGGACTCGTTGCTTCCGTTGTGAACAATCTCAACTGAGATGGGACCTGTCAGTCACAAATAATCATTTAAGTCGGTCTGAATGTCATGACTATTTATCCAATGTAAATAAAGCATAAAAGCTAAACATGCAGAAACTCCCAAGAATCAACAGATTTGCTTCATAAACATCCCTCTCACCGGTGACTTCAGGTTTGCTGGTGGCCTGTGGTTGTGTTGTGTGGACGTGATTTTCCCGGGCCACGACCCTGTCCTGCTGTTGGACATCCATGGCTTCTGTCTCCATTTGAGACGCCTAATTCTAACTCTGAGAGGACATCCAGAAAGAGAAGTATTTTAGTATAGACGGTGTGTAATCAATATGGGTGTTTCAACAAACTTCAATGCCAGTACACAACTTCTCTTCTCATGTGTACTGGCGTGAGGGCGGGGCAACCTGTCACTCACATGAGATCGACCAATAGCAAACCACAACCATTTAACCTTAAAATCAATTCCCAATGGATAAAAGCAAGTCCCGCCCAAACATTTTTTCTTCTTTAGGAAGCCATATAACTCACATATACACAACAATAGGGATGAAAAAACTATTGCAACTTCTGTTTCATGCTGACTTTAAAGTGCATTAAACAGACATTTGCCTTTGCTGCTTCTCCAAACTGACCTGAAGGGAGTTGGAAAGGTCAGACAGAACTGACAATATCATCAAAGCCCTGAGCTAATATGCAGGAGTCATAATAAACATTTTTTGCTGGTTGTTTGCTGTTTTAACGATATCCCAAGTTTTTATCGGCAGAGCATTCATTAGGGAGTCTCTCTAGTTCAACGCTCATCCCAATCTGACCCTGATTCTGAGTCATTCTATGTTCTCACTCCTCTACTGTAACATTTTTTCTTCATATTTTGTAGTATGTATTATTGTATTTAATAAATTAAGTAATTAGGCCTATCCAAAGCTGATTAGATTATACTATTGTAATGTATTTATCTTGAAGGAAATTTCTGCTGTCCCGCAGATTACTTTAAAACCTTGATAGTTGCTCTTATTCATTTTTCAAGTTTAGTTTTCAACTTTATAATAATTATAACAACATTAACAAATGTTATAGAATAATGATTAATCTCGAATGTATTATTTCATTTGTCTATGCCTTTAAACCTATTTATGATTTTTTTTTATCATTGATTTTATCGTGATTTTGGATGTTTAGCGGTCAAGCACAACAAACAGTCTCGTAAATGTAAAAATAAACATATTTCTTGGACCATATCAAGTATATCATTTTCATATAAAAGAATTAAAGTTTGAATTTAATCATCCAAGATATTGCTTGTCCATATTAACCACGTGTTATTTTAAAAATTAAAGTTTTGAAAGAGGTAAACAGAAGTAAACTTTCGATGACGTGAGTCTGTTTATGATGACCCAGAATGAAGCGAAATGACCAGAGCCTGAAGAAGACACAAAAGTTGAATTGAAGTGTTTCTTACCTGATCTCGAATAACTCCAGTCTTGTACCGAGGACGTTTTAATTCAGCTTAATTTCAGAATGATTGTGTGATGTTCGCTTGTGTGCGCGACCATCGGTTTTGACCAGCGCGTGTTCTCGAGCTTGTGCGCGTGCACGACATCCTTCCTGCACTGCAGGGAACTGGTGATTTATCATGGTTTACCTACACAGTACTGGTACGAAAAAAAAAATTATATATATATAAATTACTTAATGAAATTCTGGTTTATTTGTTGCATGAAAGGCATGTTTTCAAACATAGTTTTATACAGTCTATGTTTCAAACACATTCATGCCTGCCACTGGGTATTATCAATATCAATAGACGACAATAAGTCAATAATAATTTGTTTATATTACTGATCTCTCTAAATTGTGGCGGTAATATCAGAATGAATATATATTAGTCCGTAATTATCTAATACTAATTTGATTCTAATTGTAGAAATCTGAATACAATTTTCAACAATCATATCAGTCAAAATATTAAATCAATACAAATTACATTTAAAATGCAAAAAAAGACATTTTCTACTGTATAACATCAAAAGGCTGCATTTTGAATGTTTTTATTTTTTATATTTTCCGTTTTCTTTTTAATTTTAGTGGCATTTTTAGTTTCTTTCTCTATGTATTTTTATTATTATTTCAGTTTTAGTTATTTTAGTACATCAAGTTAAATTAAATGAAAATGAGAAATGTTGCCTTGACTTTTTATTTTTCATTTTATTTATTTTTTATTATTTCAGTTTTAGTTATTTTAGTACACCAAGTAAAACTAAATGAAAATGAGAAATGTTGCCTTGACTTTTTATATTTTATTTTGTTTCAAGTAACAAAAATTTTTGTTTAGTTGTTTTGTCACCTGCCTGCATAGGTGCGCGTCACTCACACACACGTCCAATAGGTGGCAGTAGATCGTTTGGTCTCTAATCCGTAGAAGAAGAATCATAGTGGTGGAAGCGGAAGTAAATGTTGTGATGCAGTGTTCCGCTGTGTAAACAAAAGGAGTCAAATTAAATTGATTCACTGTAAACACGTTTAGTTCACGATGTTATGACAGCTTATTAGTTTTTGTGCTTCAGCTGTTCCGAATGACTGTCGTGATATTCCTTCCTTTTGGACAATAACCGCACAAGTCTGTCATGGTAAGTGAAATATTATTAGTTTTGTCATTCGGGTTGTTTTACCCTTATAAGTAGAACTGGGCGGTACCATGGTAAAAGTTGATATATAAGTTACCTTAGTACTGATCTAAATGAACAATTAATATACCAGGGCACTTTAAAGAATACCCTGGTTCATGTCCAAAACATTGTAAAAGTATGATAAAAGCCGTTATAGAGAGAGTATGTAATACTATTTATACACTTAATATGTATTAATATATATACTGAACTCTGATACTTTGTGATGCCAAACCTTCATTTGAACGATAGCACATTTACGCAAGAGCTACTCTGAGCTGTCATTACCATATTTTTTATATTATAGTGAGTGACAGTTTAAAAAATGTGGGAAGCACAGAATACAGTAATAGTGTCAGCTGGCAGGGTTACAGTAAGTAACATACAGAAAATGCAAAATTGGATGCAAGTTCTGTTTCTTGTCTTATGTTACAGGACAGCGACATGTCAGACTTTGAAAAACCTCCCAAACCCGGGATGAGTCTAAGCCAGAGCAACACGCCTGTTTATTGCATTTGTCGCAAACCAGACATCAACTGCTTCATGATGTAAGAAGATGTGTTTCTATTGAAATGTTTGAATGCCTTTTTGAGAAGGCTTTTTCTTTGCAAATTAAAAAATTTTAAAATTCTTTTCATGTAAACAGTGGTTGTGAAAGCTGCAGTGAGTGGTTTCATGGAGACTGCATTAATATTTCTGAGAAGACGGCCAAAACCATCCACGTGTGGTACTGTGAAAGGTGTCGAAGTAAGGACTTTTTATTTGAATTATTGTTTATTTATTTAATTTAATTATTTGTTTTATTTTAGACGCATAAAACAATAATATTTTATTCATTTTAAATGATTATAGTGTCAATAGCAACCCTAAGTGTGTGCATCCTTTGGTCTAGGTAAAAATAATTCCTTGGAGATCAAATACCGTCCCAAAAAAAGCCGTGAGAAAGATTCAGAGGCAGACGGGACCGATTACCAGCCCGACACACCGGATTTCAAATCAGATGGACGGCGAGGGTCACGGGTAAGAAATTCGGTCTTCAAATGACCTTTGTGAAGACGGTAACTGAAAAGTGTGTTGTTTGTTAACCCTTTGGACTGACTGTGGGGAGTATTGGGGATTTGTCCATAGATTAAGCGCTCCGCTCGCATGTGTGGAGAATGTGAAGCCTGCATGCGCACAGAGGACTGTGGACTGTGCGACTTCTGTAAAGACATGAAGAAGTTTGGCGGCCCGAATAAGATCAGGCAGAAATGCCGACTGAGGCAGTGTGAAGTGCGGGCTAGGGTGAGTTTCACTTTTGTAAAAGAGTCCCTTTGCCTGTGATTTCATCTTTTTTTTTTCCATACATTTTTATGGTATATTTTAAGGTCTGATAATGTTTTGTTGCCTCTGTGTACAATATGATGCACTCAGCAATTATTCTCAAATTGTTCTGTAAGTTTGAATGCTTTTTAATTGATTTATTGTTAATACATTTCATTTAGCAGACACTTTTATCAGTACACTGATTACAGAGAAAATTCGTCTGGAGTAACTTGAAAAATCGGCATGAAACGGAATTTGCGATAATCTTTTCTTTTCTTTTGTGACGTATATACGAGTGAAACGGCTTCTCAAGCATGACAAAATATAGAGCGGGACTCAGTTTTGTTCATCGGGAATTGATTGGATGGTTGTGGTATGCTATTGGTCGATCTCATATGAGTGACAGGTTGCCCCGCCAGTAAACACATCATCAGAGGAAAAGATGATGTCGTTGAAAGAGGTAGGGAAACTTATTTTGATTAAAGATTATGAGGGCACATTGAATTTAAAACATAATTATGATGTGCAGAGATAAATAATTTCTAATAAACACTGCAGTATTCCATTAAAAAACAAAACAAGAATTGTTTTGATTTTTTTGGTGACTTTAAGGATCATCCCTTGTGCTGCTTGAACCTACACCCTTTCAGTTTCCAGCTCTTCTTTAGCCACTATCTTTTATATTTCAGAAAATGTTGCGAGTGAAGGATGAAGAGTACTCCATGTCTAAGGGCAGAGACTATCAAGACGGCCCAATGTCTGAAGACTACAGTGAGAATGAGCTGGAGCTTTATCAACAGTACTGCGCTGGGCAGTATGGAGAACACAGCACGGTACCTCAAATCACACTTCAGCGCTAGAAAAAAAGCCTTTTAAAGGCACAATATGTAGGTTTTTTTGCCACAAGAGGGCGCAGTTTCTAACGATAGCAAAGGCGTAGGTTGATGATGCAGTGATGAGCTGAAAGATGGGACTTGCTGTCAAGCTGATGGATCTAATGATGTTTATGGATGAGTGGAAACATTCATGATTTTTAACATTACAGTGGTATGAAGCAGGTCGCGATTGCTAAAGAGACAGATATCACACGCGAGTCCCGCGGATATAAACGAAAAACAACATTTAATTCTACCGAACTACTCGCAAGTGCTGGATTACTCACACAGGTCTGTTTATTATGCTACGTTCACACCGGACGCGAATAGGGCGTCAGGCGCGAATGATTTCAATGTTAAGTCAATGCAAAGACGCTTTACGCGCGTGAAAAATTCCTGCGGCGCGAATGAGGCGTGGAGGACGCAAATACGTCAAGTTGGCGCGAATGGCGCGAATTGAGCGTTGTGCATTCACGCGTTTGACGCGAATTCGCGTCTGCCGCCCGAGTTGAAAAATCTGAACTTTGGCGTGAATTCGCGCCGCGTTAACCAATCAGGAGCCTTGCTGCTTGCTCACGTGGTGAAGTGTCTGGATGCTTCAATAAATTATTTTGTTAATATGACTAAATGCATGGTGGGATTATGCACAACAAAGCAAATGTTTCATCACTTAAAACATTATTTCTTTATACGAGACATGTTCATTTTGTATTGAATGTTATTTATTCCATATCTAGAAATAGTATTATGTTGTAAAGACAATCAACATATGTGCATAAATTTGTGTCTGGACGTGAGAGAGAGAAAAAAATCACAGGACAGGTTAATAACTTTTGAAGGCTGGCTCTATTTATCATCAAAACAAAAATAAATGACAGCTAGATTAGATGGATGAGGGCGAGGGTGATCCTCGCTCAGATGCGGGACAACAGGTCATCAAACTGGGCGCGTGACAGGCGGAAGTACCGCTGACAGCGGCCGTCATCCAGCGCAGCTCCTGGAGCGAGCAAATGGTGAAACTCGCCAAACGGTTCGGCTCCGAAGGGTCCGGTGGACACAAATATATGGCGACGATGATCCCCACGCCGCTGTTCTGCTCTCCAGAGTAAATACAGAGCGGTAACTCTCTTGATGAATGCTCGGTCGACATAAAAACAATGGCCGCCAACGGATTTTGATTCTGACGCGCGTCACGCGCGTAAATTTCACTTCAAACTTTTACGCGCGCCAGTTTCGCTCTTGACACGCGAATTAACACTAGTGGTCAAGCGTCAAACTAGACGCGTCAGGCGCGAATTTGACGCGCGATTCGCGTCCGGTGTGAACGTAGCATTAGACAAATTAAATTTTGAAATTAAATTGGTCTAACGTTACACTATCACACTAAACGGCATTTAAATATGTGTTGAAAGTTATAATGTTATAGTGTAGCAGTGTTAGTTTGTTTGCTATATGAAACTAGCAGTAAGCTAGATCAACATTAGAATAACATACTGACCATATTATAACATTTCATCAAGTTAAGCTAACGTTATATAACATTGATTTGTTTTATGTACATTTGCTTACCTGTCTGTGTCTAATAAAGCTGTCAAGTGGTGACTCATGAAGCTCTGTCGAGTCCAAGTTAGTCGCGTACGTGGAGCTCTCGGCATCTCAAAAACGCCACGCTGATATTGATGCTCATTTTAGTTCTCCTTATTTGTTCCAAAGTCTGCTTGCCATGGTCTATGTTTGAAAGAAACAAGAACTGCGTGCCGGTTAACGTTACGCACTACACAGTTGTGCACGTCTGTCGCCATGGTTACGTCGTGGCTAAGGCAGGATAGCGCGGATATTGCATCATTGACAGGCGACATTTTTTTCCGGGACGGCCACTTATTTAAAATTGGGATTTCTCTGAAATAAAAAATCTTTGAAGACTTTTGGGATATTGTAAGTACACAACTGCAGGAAATATATCACACTGTGCAAGTGATTTTGGGGTATTTTATTACAAAATTCTTACATATTGTACCTTTAAAGGAAGTTAGCCCACATTTTGCTGTCTTGGTAACACCCCTGGATTTATTTCCAATAATCATTGGCAGAATTGGTTGTGTCTGAGTTTTGTGTTTTTTCTTCAGGGTTGGAACAGTGATGATGATGATGGTTCATATGCTGATTCGGCTCTGAGAAAGAGAGCTGTTAAGGTCAAGCACGTTAAAAGAAGAGAAAAGCGATCTGAAAAAAAGGTAAAGACATGTGTAAAAATATGTGTATTGAATGCTTGTTTAACCCTGTTAAGCTGGACATATTATATAATACTCAGTAATATCGAATTGTTTGAAATTTAACAGTTTAAATTTAAACAGAATTGAACCTTTCGACAAAAAAAGTACAAGTTTTTATGGTTCATAGAGGAGAATATAAACTAAAGCTTTATTCAGAGGCACAAACTGAGATTTGTGTTTGGATAATCAAGTAAACAAAAGTTGCTTCAGCCCATTAAGCGTTTATCTCGAAATATTTCTAACAATACAAAATTACTCTTACATTTACTATAAATTACGAACTATAAATCAGACGAAGGAAGGCAGGTAGTAGATTGTGTACAGCAGGATATTTCTAATTCAGAGACCTTCGTATCAAATATGATACATTGAGTTTTATAGGGTTAATCTTTTAATATTCATTTTTGGCTTAAAGTAAATCATTGTGCTTAGAATGGAAACTTATGTTTGGACTTTTCATTCATAAGAAAGAGGAGAATAAGCCTCGGAAGCACAAACCCAAACAGAAGCACCGAGACCGGGTGAGACACAGCGAGCGGCCAGAGGTTCGAGACAGTGGAGGAGCAAGACAGTGCCTCGGGCCCGGATGTGTCGAAGCTGCACGCGCCAGCTCCAAATACTGCTCTGATGACTGCGGCATGAAGCTCGCTGCCAAGTAAACCTGGAAATACTTGTAATTGAGTATGAATGAGATTAGACAGACTCTGAATATTTGTGCCTTTTTGTCTTGCCAGTCGAATCTATGAGATCCTTCCCCAGCGTATCCAGCAGTGGCAGCAGAGCCCGTGCATTGCAGAAGAACAGGGCAAGAAACTTCTGGAGCGAATCCGCCGTGAGCAACAGTCGGCTCGCTTGCGACTCACGGAGATGGAAAAACGGTTCCACGAGCTGGAGGGTATCATCGCTAAGGCCAAACAGCAGGTCGTACAGTACGACGAAGAGGTGAGAGATCGTCATAACCGTAGTTTCAGTGTGACATTTTCACTACTGTAAACACTGCAAACACATTACAGTGACCTGAACATCACTTTTCTTTTCCCTGAAGGCCAACGAGGGCGATGACGACACTGATTTGCAAATCTTCTGTGTGTCCTGCAGTCACCCAGTTAACCCCAAGGTGGCGCTGCGTCACATGGAAAGGTGCTATGCCAAGGTTGGTTGTCTGTTTTAAAGGAGTAGCTCTCTTTTAAACAAAAACTTTTGCTGATAATTTACTCTCCCCCATGTCATCCAAGCTGTCCACGTCTTTCTTTCTTCAGACGAAAAAAAAATTAACGACTCCAGACGATGAATAAGGGTCTTATCTAGGAAAAAGATTTGTTCATTTTGATGAATAAGTTCGAACAGGAGAGTTACGAACATGCATCACAGAACAGAGCAAGGCAGGCATTTGTGCTTATAAAACTTAAGCTTTTTTATTTATTTTTTAAATGGCTGATCGCTTCGCTTGATAAGACCCTTATTCATCGTCTGAAATCGTTTAAAGTCCTGTGAAGCTGCACTGAAACTCTCATTTGAACCGTTTGGTTCCCATTGAAGTCCATTATATGGAGAAAAATCCTGGAATATTTTCATCAAAAACCTTAATTTCTTTTCGACTGAAAAAGAAAGACATGGACATCTTGGATGACATGGGGGTGAGTAAATTATCAGCAAAAGGTTTTTTAAAAGTGAACTACTCCTTTTAATAATCATGATGCACAGACCTTTAAACTGTGTTTTTTTATTTATTTATTATATATCTTTTAATAATGTCATCTTTTTCTTCTATTCAGTATGAGAGTCAGACATCATTTGGCTCCATGTACCCCACACGCATAGATGGGTAAGTAATAGTAATACATATTTTTTAGTTTTAAATGCTTCCACTGTGATATACAGTGTGATATAGAGAGTCTTTACTGTCACTTTTGATCATTTGAATCTTCACATATATTGATAGCGGCTCCCTGACATCCGCAAATTAAATACAATATCCCTGGATTTTGAGCGTTTAAGAGAGAAGCTGGTTAACACCTGGTTTTAAGATCCGTTTTAAGTGATCTGATGATAAATGGTCAGCAAAGACACATTACTGTTTTCACCTGGTACTATCATGCATTTCAGATAATTATGATACATAAACACTTGACTACACTTAGAAAACACCATTGGTATATCTTTATCTATAATGTTATACATGGTAAACTGCCATCACCCAAAAATGAGTATTTGCCAAATGGTATGTCTGATTACTTCTTCATCTGTAAAATGAGAGAAAATTTACTTAGTGCACCTTTAAAGCCTATTAAAAATAGATAAAGAAGTTAATAAAATCATACTAATTGTATTTCTGCTCTTTATTTCCTTGTATCTAGCGCTACACGGCTCTTCTGTGATGTTTACAATCCACAGAGCAAAACCTACTGTAAGAGACTGCAGGTTCTCTGTCCAGAGCATTCAAGAGACCCCAAGGTTACTTTAATTTGATACATAAACACTCAATTTGCATAGATAATTAGAGACCGTATTCATAAATGTGAATGTCATGCGTGCAGGTTCCTGCGGACGAGGTCTGTGGGTGTCCACTGGTTCGTGATGTGTTCGAACCCACTGGAGAATACTGCAGGGTGTCCAAACGCAAGTGTAACAAACACTACTGCTGGGAGAAACTCCGCAGGGCCGAAGTGGACCTGGAGCGAGTCAGAGTGGTCAGCGCATTACCTCAACCTGTTACCTTTGCAAAGGAATCATTTATTTGAAGCAAAGAAATGTATTTAATGTTGTTGCTTTCAAGATATTTCTTAACAGCTGATGTTATTTTCACATTATTGTTCTTCAATCTTTCATTCATTTACTCATTCTCATTATTTCTTTTATTCCCCCCAGTGGTACAAATTGGATGAATTGTTTGAGCAGGAGCGCAATGTAAGATTGGCCATGACGAATCGTGCAGGTCTCATGGCCCTCATGCTGCACCAGACAATTCAACACGACCCAATTACCCCAGACCTGAGAACCAGCAAGGACAGATAAGGTTCCTGTCATTCCCTCTTATTCATCTATTCCGTTTACTCATGATGTTTAACCGTGAAGCAACCCTCCTGAAAATCTGAGGTTTTGTCTTTGATCTTACAGAGAAAATCTACAACTGCTGCCGAAGTCGCCTCACATTTACGAAGATTTGTCGGAGTCAGTGTCTTAGCTGTTGTTTTGTTAAAACTGTAATTCATGTATGACACTCATCTTGTTTCTGTATTGTATTTGCATTAATGTAACCCTTGGCTTCACTCTTTGAATGGTGCTGTGACACCACTGGTTTGTTGTGCTTACATTTTTTTAGATTTTTAATTAATCTCATAACCCTGTATTGTGCATTAAAAAACATCTAGAGATACATTGAAACTGGTGATATGTCTATAGTTTGTCTTTATTTCTTGTGCCTCTACACAAAGGAATTGTTATCATTAAGGACCCTACAGTAGTTTCCCTTATGAAATGTAACCATGGTTTTACTACAAATAAAACCAAAATACATAGTTACTATAATTAAACCATGGTAACCACAAATTAACCATGTTTTTTTTACTACACTAATAGTAGTAAATAGTTTACCCTTGTATTAAACTATTAAACAATAGTTTACCCTTGGTTTTTGTAGTAAAACTGGTTATACAAATGAAAACAACATGGTTGATATGGACCATGTATTGAGGATTTTCTTCAGTTTAATGTGGCCAATTTTATGTAATGACATTAACTTCCTATAATTAACGTTTAAGCAACAAAATGTTTGTTGTGTGAACCTAAAGGTTGGACATACATTTATACAAAACATTTATTTTAGGGTTGGAACCCCTCTCAGACGAAACCAGCTAATTCTAAAATTATATAACCAATGTTACATTTTAATTGTAATTGGTCCATGTAAAATGTCAAAATTCCGTGCTCTTTCTAGTCTCTGATCCGCGTTAAACCTATTGCTGGAATGGCGCGATTGAGGCATTCCATGTTAAGCATAAGATTAATTAGGTTCATAAATAATTGTCAATAAAAACGACGAATACCAATAATTATAATGTAGGAAAAACGCAATTAGACGGTCGATGTTTAATGCTTACTCTAGAACGGCTAATTATTTAATATCTCTCTTTCTGCAGCCTTGGTCTTCTTGTATTCATGTGTGAAAGTGATCCAAGGGCACCTCGGTTTTACTGTTAAGATGTAGCCTACGTTTATTTGACCTCAATTTAATTGTGATAATTTGTGTCGAGAAGTAAACACTGAACCCTTTCAAAAAAAATAAGGTCCCCCTCGGATTAAGATTTAAAGTACGATACCAAAGTCAATTTCTATAGCAATAAGCTCCGAGAATTAAACTATTTCATTAAACGAATATCTTCGTTAAATATGCTCAGAATAGATTTTAAATGTGGTTATTAATCTAGGCAAACGGGTGATGGTACGTATTTTTGTGCGGTCGAGAAAATATAATGTAACCTTAGCGATGCACGAATCGGCAGTTTTCGTGTAAATTATTCGTGAAATGCTTATATAAATGACAACAACAAACTCCGAGGACCTGCAAGTAGCCTACAGTTGATATAAGCGTCAAAGCTGTGTATCATTTAAAGGCGAATATGATTGCAGGCACTCAACGCTGAGCGACTGTTCAACCGCTAAATTTAATTCAGTTTCAGTCAGGATCGACTTCCTACGATGCTCGTGTTCGCGCATGCGCAGTAGATCGCCGAAAGTATCGCTGATCGGAGAGAACGAGGCGCAGATGAACGGCTCGATCGACGGCGCGAGACGCGATGAGGTAAGAATGTCAAAATGCTGCACGTATTCGATTCATTGTTTGTTTTTGTGCATGGCAAAACGTGTGTTTATAAAACGCAGGTGACGTCATAATTAATAGCTATCGCTCTAGTAAATGAACCGAAAGATCGGCGTGGTTCCGTGCAAGAGAGAGCGTTCGGAAAGTCGTTTCGAGGCTGCATCGCTGAAAGCAAGCTATGGGGAGTGTGTGGAAGGGGAGGGTTAACAGCGAAGGGGGGCTGCTTCAGCTCATTCAGCACACAGCGAAATGGACGTGGTAGAGTCGTGGAAAATAAACTTATCGTGTCTTTAAAACCTATCACAAATAATAAAGCATGTTGTCCGTGAAATGCCCTTGCGAAACGCTTGATGTTTGTTGAGTATGTCATTAATTGTCACGTTATATCGGACGTGTTTTTGATCGCTCGCCCGGACAGCATTCCTCATTCCAGCGATCTGTAATGGAGGCTGGCGAAACTCGTGTCGATTTTTTTTATTTAGCTCGCCGATCTTTTTTTATCGCGTTTAGAAAGGTATAAATGTTAGGAATCGCACGCGATGACGCATAACTTTAATATTTTAAGTTAGATAAGTTTATTTGCGCTGAAAAAAGTGGATCGCGCTATTATTTATATAATTGTTCACGCGCTGTTTTCACGATCTATCGCCACCAGGGCCACGAGTTCACATCAACTTGCGATCATTGTCAATTTTTATTTATTTTTTATACATGTAGGCTATGAAACGTCAATAAAAGCTACTGAAGTCGTTTATATTATCTCACAAAACTATAATACAGCATTGTCAACTTTAACATTTTCTGCAATACATCAAAAATTAAATTTAATGCACTGTGCAAAATACATGCACGTCTAACGTGTATGAGATGTCATTGCTCTTTGGACGAACTAAAATGCTTTATGTAAAAATGGTAATAACGACATACTCCGAGACCATTATAATCTATTGCTAAAGAAATAACCCAGATCTTGGTCATAAACACAATACAGATGTAATAATGATTGCATAATCATACTTGTATTTTTGCTTGTGTTGCATTTAATTAAAAGGAAAATGATTAACGCTGTTTAATGTTTCTTGTTGGGTGTTATTTTTTTAACATTCCACTTTTTGGTATATCTTGAGTGTAACTGACTGAATTTTCAGATTTTTTTAGAACCTGATTTACAGAAATTTGCTTTTTTGTTCATTATGGTTTATTCTACACTGTTCTGCATTTGTTATAGCCAATTTAAATTGAATATTTAGACAATTTTGATAGAGAAACTATAAAGTATAACCCTCTTACTGAAGCTCCAATTTGGAAAATTAAAATACTTTGAATCTGCATATGGAACAGTCAATTTTGTTCTTGGCAGCTGTAGTTAATAAGAAAAAGAATATAAAGTTGATACTGAACCACTGTAATTATTATTTTCTAACTCTATGAGAGATGTCTGAAAATGGCTGGCTCAGCATTTTGAATATTACTGATTACTGAGCAGATTCAGTGAGTTTCTTGCTGACTTGCTAACCTTTATAAGATATCTTCCTCAACAAGCTGTATTTGTAACTTTAAACAAATAGCTGTGTGACCCAGATTTGAGCTGAAACCTACAGCGAGGTTTCATTTACCACTGAGATGTTGACATCTATTTTGTCATGTTTGTATTATTGTGAATCTTTAAAAGTGTCTATTACCTTGGTCAACCTTCCAGCAGTTTTCTTAAAGAGCAGTTGTTTTAAACAGATGGTCTTAATTTCATATAATGTGGGCTTCAGGAAATGAAGTATTTTCTGCTAGACACATTTTAACAAATGATGGCTGCTTGCGTATTTCATTGCCATAGTAATTGCGCTGCATTGCAGACATCGAATGTTCTCAGCCCATTTGTATCGACCTCCCTGCCATCGCTGCTGGGCTCTCTGCAATTCTGTCACCATGGCAACCACTCGTTTCGGCCCCGTTCTATAAATATTCTCCTTCACGCTTGTTCATCGTGTTTCTGCTAGCTTGACTCATTTTCAACAGCCCGATTTTATAGAGGGATTTTATTTACACATCGGTTACGTTGCAGTGGAAAAACTTGATTATAAGCTTTTGCTGAAATAGTTTATTCAAATAGTGATTTGCACATCATGATACAAGTGCGTCAACATCATATTTCTTTAAACTGCAATGACGATGTTACGCTGTGTGTGTGATTTGTTCTCAATGCATGGTATGTCTTTAGAAATAAATTAAGCTGCAACAAGAAGTTCAGACTGTACCGTAATAATAATTTAATAGCATATACAGTTTGGTGTGTAAGTCTCTAATATCAGCATTCTCTTTACAGGTATAATGTAATCATCCATAACCAGTAAAGACATAGATGAAGTGTTGGCTCTTTGACATTTCATGAAATCCAAGCTATCGTAACATTGTGAGATGAAATGAACACCTCAGACTTCTTTGGACTAGAAGTCGTTTTTCCTATTTAAAAATGTGAGTTAGAGATTCAATATCCAAACTCTTCCTGGGATGACTCCAAGTCAAAACCATTGGTCTCACAAATCTACTAGTAAAATAGAGTCCTCGAGGCCAGAGGAAAAGATCAGATATGACGGATGAGCTGAACATGGCGTCAGCTGAACCGGAGACGATGAACCCGCAAGAGACTGTGCCGGCCCTCTTGAGTGAGAATCATCTGAATGGAGCAGATGTTGCTACCGCCGTTGAGGATACTGAGTGGGACAACATGCCTGGAATAGTGACGGTTGAGTTGCCACCTGATTGGCTGAAGCCAATGGAAGAGGATGAAGATGGTGTTGAGGGTGTCCGGAGCATGTATGTGCCTTACTTTCTTCATTTTTGTTTACATTTGGTGGAATATTCTGTATAGGCAGTATGTTGCCTGGAAACATTTTAAGTCCAAATGTCTGAGAAGAATACATTAAAATTTAAAGGGTTAGTTCACCCAAAAATGAAAATTAAGTCATTAATTACTCACCCCCATGCTGTAGCAACCCCGTAAGACCTTCGTTCGTCTTCGGAACACAAATGAAGATATTTTTGATTAAATTTGAGAGCTGTATAATATAACTACCACATTGGCTCCTAAAGGACTGCCTCTTGACGGCCCAGAAAGTCAATGAAGAAAATTTTTAAATATCCCAAGTGACTACCGTGGCTCAACTATATGTTTATCAAGCGACGAGAATACTTTTTGTGCGAAAAAACAAACAAAAATAACGAGTTTATTCGACTATTCCTTTTCTTCCTTGTAGGCCAGAACGAGACTTCCTTAGATTTCCACGACGCATGCGCGAGAATTGCGATCTGAAGTAGTGTAAGCAGATTGCAATTCTCGCGCATGCATATTAGCATCCACACCAGTGCACAATAAGACTCTTTATTCTAACTGTACATTCACACCGCTGCCGACTTGAGCGTCAAAGAAGCTCTGGCCGCCCTGTTAAGGAAGCTTGTTGATGATTTGAACGCGCTGACGTTGCGGGGAGAATAGAAGTGTCACAACATGAAATGTAATAAACAGAAAAAAACGAGCAATACATTGAAGAAACCTTTTATAATAACAGCATTTTTATAACCGTTTTGGTCACATTTGGTCGGGAAAAAAAATAGTTAGCTATTATTATTATTATTATTGCATTACTGCTCTAAAACGAGCATTCGTAAATATTTCAAATAAAAGTTTCGCTCATGCGGTCCCTATAAGCAAACAACGTCATGTCATGAATTATACGAAACCAGTAGGAAACACAGCAACGGCAATGATTAGCTTCTCTTCCATTTTCTTGGAACTAAGAGGACGTCTATATTCCGATTGGTTGCTGGCGTTTTGCTGCTGCTTGCCGCTGAACCGCGTCACAGCTCATTACCATTAAGTTGAGCTGCTTTCAATTTCTGATTGACGCTCAAAACGCCCAAAACATGACGCCGATGGATTTGACGCTCCGTGCAGCTGAGAAAAGCCAGCTTATATGATGAAGATATTTAATTTAGGCTTTTATTCACACAAACATTCATCAACGCACACATCAGATATGGTAATTGGTAGAGCCAGACCGATATATCGGCAGACCGATATTATCGGCCGATATTAGGCATTTTTCAAACGGTATCGGCAGTTATAATGGGCGATAAACGAATATTTCAAAAATAAAATAAAAACGGACGAAACACGCTTGAACCATGTCATCAGTGTTGGAGTTGTATAGTTTGTCCACCAGAGGGCACTCTACACCGTTCCTGTTGGCAACACTCGTTGAGTTCGTCACGATACATACATTGCTTGAACAACAATTAAAAGAACATCCCCATCAGTTCTCTTAACTCAAATAAGCATGACAAAATTTGTGACTATCATGTCCAGTTTCAAATAAATAAATAAAATATCGGCCGATATATCGGAATATCGGATTTTAAAACCCAAAAATATTTGTATCGGTGTCGGCCTTCAAAGTCCTTTATCGGTTGGGCTCTAGTAATTGGAAGCTCAAGCATAAAAATATTGTAATTTTTGCTCAGAAGATGAATGGAAGTGTTACGGGGTTGGAACGACATGAGGGTGAGTAAATATAATTTTTGGGTGAACTATCCCTTTAAGACCTCGATTTTCTTTCATATAAATATTGAAATGTATTTGATAATGAATAAATGTGACATGAAGTGAAGAAATGGATCAATCAGATTCAGTTGGGAATATGGAGGCGCTGCAAAACATGTTCAGACATTCATATCACACGTGGATCATAACTTTTGTACTTCTCGTATTCTCACAGTCCGAAAGTAAAACGACGCAGAGGTCGGCCTCCGAATGCCAAAAATGTTAGACAAGGACTTACTCGTTTAGATTTCAAGAAAGGAAGACGCATGGATCGCACTCGGAGAACTAAGGTTTGTGTTGCGTTTTCTGTCTTTTGTTTGCATTGCTAGAGAGAATATTGTGTACAGTTAAGAGAAATAATATTTTGTTTATTTTTAGAACATTTTTGAAAATCTTTTTTTTTTTTTTTGTTGAAAGTCTTTTTTTCTTAAAGTTTTAAAATGACCTTATTATGCCTAATTAAAGGTTCCTCATTTTGATTTGGAGTCTCCTAAAAAACATTAATTTTCTCCTAGCATAAATTGCAGCATGACCTCTTTTCTCTCAGTGTTTAATGTGCGATCATGGATCCGATTTCTCTAAACCCTTCCTTTCTGAGAGCTTCTCTGCACTGACAGCCCAGTCTGTTGTGATTGGTCTATTTTGATTAATCAGATGATCTAGTCTGTTGTGATTGGTGTACTCTGCTCTGATTGGTCAGATGACCCAGTCTGTTGTGATTGGTCTACTCTGCTCTGATTGGTCAGATGACCCAGTCTGTTGTGATTGGTTTACTCTGTTTGGTCAGATGACCCAGGCTGTTGCGATTGGTTTACTCTGATTGGTCAGATGACCCAGGCTGTTGCGATTGGTTTACTCTGATTGGTCAGACGACCCAGTCTGTTGTGATTGGTTTACTCTGTTTGGTCAGATGACCCAGGCTGTTGCGATTGGTCAACTCTGATTGGTCATATGACCCAATCTCTTGTGATTGGTTTACTCTGATTGGTCAGATAACCCAGTCTGTTTTGATTGGTCTACTCTGCTCTAATTGGTCAGATAACCCAGTCTGTTTTGATTGGTCTACTCTGCTCTGATTGGTCAGATGACCCAGTCTGTTGCGATTGGTCTACTCTGATTGGTCCGATGACCCAGTCTGTTTGTTTTTGGTCTACTCTGCTCTGATTAGTCCGATGACCTAGTCTGTTGTGATTGGTCTACTCTGCTCTGATTGGTCAGATGACCCAGGCCGTTTTGATTGGTCTACTCTGATTGGTCAGATGGCCTAGTCCGTTGTGATTGGTCTACTCTGCTTTAATAGGTCAGATGACCCAGTCTGTTGTAATTGCCCATTACCATATCTAAATTTCAGCTCGGGATGTTTCCTCAGCCTTTGTAACGATGCCACCCGTTTTACCGAATCAATTCCTATATCCTCATCCTTTGGAAGAGCATGCAAGGTGGATTTGCATTCGTAGCGCCAAAACAGCATCTTGTTGAGTTCAGAATTGGTTTGTTCATTCGGGAGACAATAACTTTATTTATTGTTTACTTTGAGCTTTAAAACTTTGCAGACCATTTATGTTCTCAAACAGCTATATTACACACTGAATGAAAGGTAATATCCAAAAAACGCATAATAGGGTCACTTTAATGATTATGAGTGCAATTTACAGAATTTAGGATTAATTGACATTCGATTTTTAGTTAATATGTAATTATCGATTTTTAGTAAATATAATCTGCTTTTAATTTAATCATAAATTATAACATTTTCATACATTTCTTTTTTCTCTGTGGTTGCTTGTCATAAACAGAGTGTTCTTTCCCAGTTGGAAATTACCAAACGTTCAAGTCTCTCATCAAGAACAGCCACTCCCCGCCCAGACCCAACCCACACGCCTAAAGTTTTACCCAGAACAATCCAGAGCATCATTCACAGCTCGACATCCACACCCCAGAGCCCCCAAGGACCCCGACTCACCCCCTGCTCACCCGCAGGAGTCCGCAGCCTCTCCAACACACCCAACGCAGAGTTTAACAGCCCACCGCGCCTCACGAGAGTCTCGCCGCTCAATATCGACACATCCAGGACACGGGATTTCATCCACTCTCCTTCAGTAAAAGTGGGGAATGTTTCCCAACAGTTCATCAGTTCCTCTAGCGAACCTGGGAAAGACGGCTCTGAGCTGCCCCTTCGACTCTGGCTTTATCCATCTCTAGAGCCCATTAGCCCTACAAAAACTCAGGATGATTTCATCTCAGATCATGTATTTTCGCCAGATTTTCCAGATTCTAGGCTTAATGGAACAATGGGGCTGAAGGAAAGCCATCCAGTGCTCAGGTGAATAAAATCAGACTCATTTTACACTGCCCAGAATGCCGATCTTCTATATTTGCTGTTGTTTTTTCAACTAGGGCCTTCGCGAATGTAGTAACGAACCTAGTTGTTTCTCTTTCTCTAGTAAATGTGAAAACTGTGGCTCCCCATTTTCTGCTCAGAAGCCTGGAGACACGTTGTGCTTCAGATGTAGGCCCAAATGTATGTGAATTTATAATTACTCCTTTCATTTCAGCAAGCATGATATTCATGATATTCCTTTTTTGTTGTCTAATTTCTACATGTTCTCGTTTGCAGCAGAGAAGAAGTACTCTCCTCCAAACATTGTGTTCAGGAAGGTATGTATTTCTGTCAGTCCTGCTTCTCCTTGTTTTCTGTCACTGATTCTTGAGACCTGGGATAATACAGAAAGTTTATGTGGCAAAAATGATTTTGAATTAAAGTCACCATGAAATAACATTCATGGAAGATTTCAGTATTTGTTAAGTCTGTGCACATCATTGTTTTCTTTAAAACCATGTTCCCTCATAATCTTTAATCAAAGTAACTTTCACTCACTCTTGTACAACCTGTCACTCACATAAGATCCACCAATAGCAAACCACAACCATCCAGATCCAATCAATTCCTCATGGACAAAATCGTGTCCCGCCATACATTTTTTCTTGTTTGGGAAGCCGATTCCCTTGGATATACGTCACAATAGGAAAGAAAACACTTAATTTTTCAATTAAGTTTAATATATATATATCTACCTTGTGATTCTACTTCCTCTATTTTTAGTTTTTTTCCTTGCTTTCTCTAATACTCACAGGCGGATACAAATAATGTGTTCTGTCATTCATCATATACTGACACTTGAGAGTGTAAAATTGATTTTTAGAAAAATGACTGTGGACAAAAATCATTTTGCTTATAACACAAGTATTAAATACAGCCACCATTTTCTGTTTTAGGGTAGTGAGGAATATTGTAGTAATTTTACTAACATAGAGAAAAATTGAATGGCAAATTTTTTGTTAAGAAAATTGTAGTTATCCCATGTCTCATTTCTGTATTATGCTGTGTCTGTGTTCACATTAGTTGAATGAGAGGTTGCTTTGGCGATACTTTTGGGTCTTAATATCTGAACTAACACAAGCTAGTTTCCCATTTGTTCTGCTCTGTCTACTAGCCAAATAACGGTTGTTTTCTCCCTTTAAAGGGATAGTTCACTTTTGAAATTAATTGTTGGTATGTTTTAGCTTACCTCAAGGGCATCCAAGATGTAGGTGTCTTTGTTTCCGCAGTAGTTTCAATTTTGATATTTTTAGGTCAAACCGTTCGTGTCTGTCAGTCATATAATGGAGGTCTATGGTCACCACCTCAAAGAGCATGCACAAAGAAGTCCAAATTAAACATGATTTAATGACTCGTAAATATAAGTACACGTTGATGGCCTAAGACACAAAACGAGCGGTTCGTGTGAGAAAACGAACAGTATTTATATAGTTTTTTTACAGGAAAAACTATATAAATACTGTTCGTTTGAGGTGGTGACCATAGACCTCCATTATATGACTGACAGACAAGAACGGTTTGACCTAAAAATATCAAAATTGAAACTACTGCGGAAACAAAGACACCTACATCTTGGATGCCCTTGAGGTAAGCTAAAACATACCAAAAATTAATTTCAAAGTGAACTATCCCTTCAAGTAGCTGAACAAAGTCCAGATTATCCTTCATTTCTCTAGTAGCATTATTAACTTCATTCTTTTATTTTCTTGAATATTCTTTTCTAGAAACATTTTCCTTTTATTTATGATTCTGTTAAAAGTAGCACTTTTGTTTATCATATTTCTTTTGCTTCTTTTTATTATTATGCATTTGTATGTTTTTTTGATTATTATTTTCAAGGTGGGGCAGGATCAGTGGGAGGTTGGGAAAACAAAACATCCAAGAAAACAAATACTGGTAAAACATATAAAATCATAATGACACATTCATGATATATATGGGCTGCAGCATTCACAAAAGCATTGCCAAAGATCATCACATAATCCGTCTGTAGTTAAACTACGTGTATACCAAAGCATAATGCCACTATCTCCTGCAGAAACCACATCCCAAATACAAGAAAATTGACACAAAGGTGAGTGTTTATTTTTCTTATAGCTTTCTATAGCTTCTTTTTTAACCCTTTGATGCACAACATGGGTCTAAATAGACCTAATTTCATCATTCAGTATTCCGTGTACTCTTCAATTAACTTGTTTTAGAGCATCATTCCCATTCCTAATTTAAAATTTTCTTTTTTTACTTTTCAAAAATGACCCATATAGGAACCTTTGATATCTATAAATTGTATAAATATTTTTACTGCAGAAAACTATTCACCTGCCACACATTTCACAGGCCGCTTTTATATATTCCATGCATGTAAGTTTTATTTAATACATTTGTTTTGTCACAGAAAATATTTGATATTTTGTGAAAAGATATGAAGATATAGCCTAATATTTAAATGTTTAGGCTAAGGCTTACCTTGAAATGAAGGTACACTATAGTTCAATTTCAGTGTTATCGGTTATATGTGTGACAAAGTGACTAATAAACATTTCAAATGTTACAGTAAATGTGTTGATCTAAACATTGGTTAACAGTGTCATTGGTTATTCTAACAAAAAGTTTTCTTTATTGTTTTGTTTTAGCACGCTTGCATAGATGTGTGTGTAAACTCGAACTCGTGTAAATTTTGAATATTCATAAATCATGAAATTTATAGATCATGAAATATTAAATGCTCAAATAAAGTGATTTAAAAAAAAAATACAAAGCCATGCATGAAATATTGTAGGAAATGAATACGGGTCTTTTTAGACCCATGTTGTGCATTAGAGGGGGTATCCATGGCTTGCGCATCAAAGGGTTAAAAGTTATATCAGTTCAATGATTGGTTGCTCATTCATGAAACTGTCAGCGCTGCATTTTAATAATGTTAAATTACAGATACTACCACTACTACAGTAATCCCATCAAAAGTTAATTGAACATTAGGAATAATTCATTTTTACACAGTTTTTTTTAGTAGTATTGAAAGTAAAGTGTTAATTATTCAACGTTTAAATACTTTGTCATAGCTTAAAATATAGTTTCAAAAAGAAGCAAATCATTCATTGGATAACTTTGAAACTTAAAGCAGTTTGACGTGTTTATTTGGTCTGTATAATTTAAAATTAGTGTAAACGCAAACTTGGATCATATGCATCAACTTTTTTCAGTGTTGACTATAGATTTTGGAGACCTGTTTGGAAATAGTCATCGTTTCTTTTGTTCTGTTCATAGTGAAACAGTTATTACACGCTTAACCACTGTTGGAGTAGGAGTGCTGTGCTTAAAATACTGATCCAGGTTTCTTTTGTATGTGTTGTTTAGGATTTTGTCCCTGATGGTGGTGATGATGAGGATTGGGTGAGTGAGTGCATCATCACATTATCGCACAGACAGCACTAGTTGAAATCTCACGGATAGCACTAATCTTTTGTAGTTTTGTTTGACTCTGCTAATGATTGTGGCATGGGATGATTTTTAACCCTTTAGTAACTTATTTGACATGCAAAATGTCTTAAGTCCAAATGATCAAAAGCTGTCGTACACAATCTTCTACGTTCCTTGTCCTTGTTCCTGTTGTCTGATTGATAGCAAGTAAAAAGGCCTTTTAGTACATCCCTGTTCAGGTCATGGTACATGTCTTTTTGCTGTGAAATCTTTAATGATTTTTTTATAAAATATATGTACGAATAACTTTTATAATCCTTAGTAATATTGCAAGATGAACACTTACTGGACTGAAGCGACTTACTTGATTATCCAGACATCATTTTGTAGAAAAATGATGTTAAAATGTGAGTATCAAATATGATCCATTAGGCTTTTGAGGGAGCATTTATTTGTCATCCTTGTATTGCATTGAATTATATTGTTTTAAACTCCCTTAACTAAACTAAGCATTTAAATATCATCTTACTTAGACATTATTGGCAGATATAGAGTGATAAATTTATTTAATGTAAATTAACCACTGTTATAAAGATCTCATTGATGTTTTTTTTATTAAAAGTTATTAGAATTTCATCTTTCTTTTTGGCCATAAAAATAACAGCAATTTTTTTGCTCAGTTTGTGCCATTGAATAAAATTGAGGAGTATGAGTTATATATTATTTTATTTTATACTCATGGTTCAATAAACATTTGCATTTAAAAAAATGTCTTTTCCTGATTATAGCGGAACTCATAAACCCCCTTAAAAAGTCAAATGTCAAAAAAATCTTTTAGTCCTTTATTAATTTCTCTGTCTACTCTTGCTTTTAGGCTCAAAAGAAACGGAGTCGCAGAATGTGTCGGCAGTGTGACGCGTGTCTTCGTGAAGACGACTGTGGCATATGCGACTTCTGCATGGACAAGCCCAAGTATGGTGGCAGTAACAAGAAAAGGCAGAAATGTCGCTTACGACAGTGCAAGTTTGAGTCAAAGCTTCATGGTGCAAATGTACGTATCTGTATGATTAACATCACTCAAGAGTTCCAGTGTTGGGTGTAACGCATTACTAGTAACCCGAGTTATGTAATCCGATTACTTTTTTCAAGTAACTAGTAAAATAATGCATTACTTTTGAATTTACAACAAAATATCTTTTTGAAATAAGTAACGTTTTCCCATTTTTTTTTGTTGAGAGAAATCAGGAGGAAAGGTGTTTGTGTGTAAACATGATGGTTATTGTAGTTCTAAACTATATGTGAGCATGCATTTACTCATTTGACATCAAGAAACATATTTAGTATTCCTCAAAATGAATAAATAGAGTGAACTGCAAACTCAGAATATTATACCTGCAATAATTAAATATGATAAATATACTTTAAAGGGATACTCCACTTTTTTTGGAAATGCTAAAAGTGTTACCGCCAGAACCAGAGATCGGCTGAATGGATTCAAAAACGGTAAAACTCGACAGTTTAACTCTGGGGGAGTTGTAAAATGAGCCAAAAAAAAAGTGGAGTATCCCTATAAATCTCACTTTATTAACCAATATTTTTGCTGCTGACCTTCAAATTATCTGAAATGGATATTAAGCTAAAAATCAAAAATGTCTTTAGATAAACATCACGTTTATTTCTAAAGTAATAGTGTTGAACTTTCTTCTTCTGTGATCCAGAATGGCAGCACAGCTGACAAAGTTGACCAGTTTGCCACTTTACGTCTGCAAAAAAAATAGACCTTTTAAAGCTACACTGTGTGATTTTTACCCCCATCTAGCGGTGAAAAGGTATATTCCGATTTCATTTTAACTCCTACGGTGGCCAATGTAGTCCAAGATTAACATAGCTTCCAGTTCGACCTCGTCCATGAGTGTTAACTCAAACGTAAACGCGAAAGGCGAAGCTTGAATTAATGGGTATGTCCCTCTTTGGCTACTGTACTTTCAAGATGGAGGGTCAACATGGCGACCGACATTAGAACCCCTTACCCGTATGTATTTTCAATGGCATATTATACACTCACGAGAATACTTTATTATTTGAAAGAAGTAAATATACATTAATGAGCACATATATTTTTGAAAGAACTAAGTGTTTTTAGCTAAGAATAAACCAAAAGAGTTACACAGTGTAGCTTTAAACAAACAAACAAGCAAGCCCAGCCCAGGTGTGACAAACTAACGCAAAAGTAGCGTTCAATTAGTTACTTTTTTAGGGAGTAATACAGTATTGTAACACATTACTTTAAAAAGTAACCTTTTCCCAACACTGGTTATCACCTGACCATCACTACACATTTCGGAGGTCCATTTTTCGATATCTTTTTGTTTCATCATATCGTATGCAGAGAAAGCAGAGTCCGTCCCTTTCACGAAGAAGAGGAAACATGAAACCCAAACTCAAGAGGCGTGGGAGATCAACAAAAAAGCGGAGATTTAGAAGCAAACCCTGGGAGGATGATGACGATGACGACGATGATGATGACGAAGATGAAATGTCTGAAAAGGACAATGACGAAGACGAAGGGCGACCGTTTAAAATGAACGGCTCCAAGGCCAGAGGAAAGAAGAAATGGAATTACAGTTTTAAGGAAGAGGACGACGACATGTTCATTGAGGCCGTGATCGAGGATGACGAACCATCCAACGTAGAGGAGGTTTCTGATTTCTAAATGTTTGCAGTCAGAGAATTAAATGTTGCACAACCAAAACACAAAACAAGGTCTAAGTCTGCATTCACATCATACATGACAACGTTTTTAGACTCAAATTATTGTGGAATGGATCCATGTGCAAATTTGTTGTTGATGACAGCAAAGTGCTTCATAACTTCATTAGTCACAACTCAATGCTTGTGTCAAATACTAAAAAAACAAAGTACAGTGGCTATAATAAAATGCCATAACATTTAAAAGTTAGAGTTAGAAACATCAGAGCTGTCATAAATTTCAGAACATGTTTTCAATTAGTGTTTATGGGATTATGGGAGTCAGAAAGTTGTCAGTAATTATGGTAATTTATGACTTAATTGCAGCATTAGACTAAAAGTAGACTTTCAGTTTCAGCAGAAGGTCGCCATCTACAATGTAATTTAATCAAGAAATATGAATTATTTTAATTAATGTTTATTTGGTTATTAAAAATGTTTAATGTTAGATTATCTCGTTGCCTGTTTTCATAGGATCCTGATATTTTGGACAATGAGAGATCAATGATGGCGTCTAATGTGATGTACTCCAACACCTCTGGACTCGGTGCTCAGGTAAGACTTGCTACATCATTTTCGTCCAGCCTTGGTTCTGGAATTCATTTCTTAGTTACTTGGCATTAAAAAATCTAGACTAAAGCATTTCATGCATTTTTGCAATTGCTTTTATCCAAAGGGGCATGCATTGCATTCAGGGTTTTAGGACTGCATGATTTTTCTGATTAAAAAAAAAGGTTTGCTGTGCTTGTTTGCAAAATCTGGCCTAAATGTTATGATTATATATCAATATGGCTACACAATAGTAATAATAATTAGTAGTAGTAATATTTTTTTATGCTCTAGTGATTAAACATCCCATAATTAACATTAGGTAGATGCTTGTTACCTTGGTTGCCTGCTTGCCATCTCAGCACGACTTCACTGTAAAAAAAATTGTTGGTTTAACTTAAAATATTAAGTAACCTGGTTGCTTTAATTTTAAGTTGATTGAACTTAATACAATGAAGGAGATTGATTTAATCATCAGAAACTCAAAATAATAAGTTATCTGATCTTAATAAATTATTTAAGTTGATTTGACACAAGAAAAAATGTTGTGATTAACAAATCTAGTGACAGTGTAGTGATTCCCACTTCTAATATAACAGTGATTTCTCTGATTGGAGAATCTCGATTCTTTTTGAGTTTTTCAGCAGGATGTTACATTTACAATATCCAAATATAGATGTTGCAAATGTTGATGGCCGTTGAAAGCTGCCGTTTGTTTAGATATCAGCATGTTTCGCAGGGATTATACTACAACATGCCGGTGGCGCCTCATATGCTTGGATCAGTACCTATGTGCAACAACAATCAGATGCCGCTGGGTGAGGTCATCGGTTCTTTGCCGATGGGGGATGATGCGACTCAGAATGGTTTTCTTCAGATTGAGATGGTGAGAGTGGGGTCACCACCATCACATTTCACTGAAGAACCGCAGAACACACAACAACACATGCTAGAACATCAACAGGAGGCCACGCCGATGGTGAGTCACACTCGACATCTGTCTCCACTACTACTCAATACACTATTGTTTAAAACTTTGGGGTCTTTAAGGTTTATGTTTTAGAAAGAAGGCTCTTATGTGCACAAAGGCTGTATTTACTTGATCAAAAATGGCATAAAACAGTAATATTGTTAAGTATTATTTCAACACTTGTGCTTTTTAAGGAAACCGTGATAAACGTTTTTCAGGATTCTTTGACGATTAGTTGTATTATGAATGTCTTTTGAGAACACGGTGAGGCGCGAGAGCGGCGTGGCTTATCGGACATAGAAACAGTAACTAAAATGCTTCTGCCTTCAGGAAGAATGTACAGAGTGCCCAAATGTCGATTGAACTGGTTTTAGAGTACCCACATGTCGATTGAACTGGTTTCAGAGTGCCCAAATATCGATTGAACCGGTTTCAGAGTGATTGATTGAACCGATTTCAGAGTGCCCAAATGTCGATTGAACCAATTTCAGAGTGATTGATTGAACCGGTTTCAGAGTGCCCAAATGTCGATTGAACCGGTTTCAGAGTGATTGATTGAACCGGTTTCAGAGTGCCCAAATGTCGATTGAACCGGTTTCAGAGTGATTGATTGAACCGGTTTCAGAGTGTCTAAATGTCGATTGAACCGGTTTCAGAGTGATTGATTGAACTGGTTTCAGAGTGCCCAAATGTCAGTTGTAACCAAATGTTGATTAAACCGGTTTCAGAGTACCCACATGTCGATTGAACCGGTTTCAGAGTGATTGATTGAACCGGTTTCAGAGTGATTGATTGAACCGGTTTCAGAGTGATTGATTGAACCGGTTTCAGAGTGTCTAAATATCGATTGAACCGGTTTCAGAGTGATTGATTGAACCGGTTTCAGAGTGCCCAAATATCGATTGAGCCGGTTTCAGAGTGATTGATTGAACCGGTTTCACAGTGTCTAAATATCGATTGAACCGGTTTCAGAGTGATTGATTGAACCGGTTTCAGAGTGCCCAAATATCGATTGAGCCGGTTTCAGAGTGATTGATTGAACCGGTTTCACAGTGTCTAAATATCGATTGAACCGGTTTCAGAGTGATTGATTGAACCGGTTTCAGAGTGCCCAAATATCGATTGAACCGGTTTCAGAGTGATTGATTGAACCGGATTCAGAGTGATTGATTGAACCGGTTTCAGAGTGTCTAAATATCGATTGAACCGGTTTCAGAGTGATTGATTGAACCGGTTTCAGTGTGTCTAAATGTCAATTGAACCGGTTTCAGAGTGCCCAAATATCGATTGAACCGGTTTCAGAGTGATTGATTGAACCGGTTTCAGAGTGTCCAAATGTCGTTTGAACTGGTTTCAGACTGTCCAAATGTCAATTGAACCGGTTTCAGAGTGCTTGAATGTCGATTGAACCGGTTTCAGAGTCCCCAAATATCGGTTTCAGAGTGCCCAAATGTCGACTGAACCGGTTTTAGAGTGTCACAATGTCGATTGAACCGGTTTCAGAGTGCCCAAATGTCAATTGAACGGGTTTCAGACTGTCAAAATGTCGACTGACCCGGTTTCAGAGTGCCCAAATGTCGATTGAACCGGTTTCAGAGTGTCAAAATGTCGATTGAACCGGTTTTAGAGTGCCCAAATGTCCATTAAAGCGGTTTCAGAGTGCCCAAATAACGATTCAACCGGTTTCAGAGTGCCATTTTGTCCATTAAACCGGTTTCAGAGTGCCCAATTGTCGAAGCAGTTTCAGAGTGCCCAAATAACGATTAAACCGGTTTCAGAGTGCCCAAATGTCAATTAAACCGGTTTCAGAGTGCCCAAATGTCAATTAAACCGGTTTCAGAGTGCCCAAATGTCGATTGAACTGGTTTCAGAGTCCCCAAATGTCGATTGAACCGGTTTTAGAGTGCCTAAATGTCCATTAAACCGGTTTCAGAGCGCCCAAATGTTGATTGAAGCGGTGTCAGAGTGCCCTAATGGTGATTGAACCGGTTTCAGAGTGAACAAATGGCGATTGAACTGGTTTCAGAGTGCCCACATGTCAATTAAACCGATTTAAAGATTCTTCTGTTACCATTCTATTGGACTTTTGAATGACAGGGACAAAGGCCAATGATTGTGCCTGGTTTGGACTGATTACTTAACATTATCTAATTATTGCTCTATATTATAATTTTTATTTATTGTTACTTTATTGCTGGTCTTAAGGTTTTTGCACCCCTATTTGTGTGATAACAGTGGTCTTTTTAAATTACATGTTTTACATGGTCTACATGTTTTGCTCTACCGTATGAATTGTTTACGCGAGATACATCATGTGATTGATTCATTCTTAGAGTTTATTTATAAATTCTCATCTATTTTTATTTCTTTTTAATGTCTCATTTTTATTCTGGAAATGGGGCATACACCGTGCCCAAGACAAATTTCCCTAAGGGGACAATAAAATATGCAATACGATACACACCTACCAACAATGTCAATGTCACATCTGCTTTTGTAGATCACTCAGATCTTCAGTCTGGCGGCAGCAGAAAGCGACTGTGACCGAGACCAAGGCCTGATGGAGCTGTTCACCATCCTAGGCCAGACCGTGCTGCCCGCTCACTGGGTGTGTGTCATGGCCAAAGGCCCCGTCCTCCAGCTCCTGCAGTGCTCCAAGCTCTCCACCATGGCTGACACCATCGTCCAGATCGAGAAGGGCTTCTTCTACCAGGTCAGCGTTCAGAACCAGCCTCTCCTGCTCATGCACGCCATCTACTCGCGCCACCCAACCTGCCTCGAGACGCTCGATCATGTGGTGTCGCTCCTGCTAGACCTGGAAGGGCTGGGTGTGTGTCAGGGCTACCAGAGCCTCGACATGGGTTCGCCCTGGGAGCCCAGAATGTGCGTCCGAGCGGCACTGTGCGATTTGCTCATTTCCAAGGACGAAGAACATTGTGTGAAATGCTCGCAGCCTGTGGAGGGCTGAATCATCTTCCACGAGTATTTACTGTAGTTTTTGGAAAAATCCTCCACCAGTTTTTAAGCTTAGAGTGCAGTTAGAGCCGTCTCCAACTTACGGGGCCCCACAAATGACATAAATCATGGTCACTTTGAAATAATACTTTGGATTGGGGAAATGAATTGTTACAGTTCAGCCACGATTTAGTAAATTGAGGAACGAATTATACCGTGTGCACGATTTTCTTAAAACAAGGGAACGAATTAGTAAAAAGTCGTGGGAGCAAACTGTTAATTCATTGCCACGATATACATTTTTTCCCCAGCATGTCATGTGCAGGGCTCCGTACCAACCTCACATTATAATCTACATCCAAAATGGTGCTTCTTTGTTTGTTGTTTTATTTTCAGAAATGTGGAGGTTAGTGATGCGGACTCCCGAAAAACATTGAGTTTTGCCAAAATCCTTTCTTTCCGTCACTTCAACTCTCATTTAAACTACCTCTCGATCATTTTATGGACCAATTTCAACCTTGAACTTCCCAGGTGCCCTTATTCAGGCTGAGTTATTGATTCAGAGCTGTTTGGTGAACATGTTTATTGTTGTACAATGAAAATAGTATTATTAACTGCCTTTGTTGTGGTAAATTTTGGGGTTGTATGTTCAAACCTAAACTCTTTAAAGACAATTTTAAAATCCAAAATCGCTCAACCTTTAGAAATAGGCTACTTTTTATCGATGGCAAGCTTACAATGTATTTAATTTGTACCCCAAAGCAAGCATACGATCGGTCATAATGTGTTTTCACGTCTTCTTTTTTTAAAGCAGAAATCTTGTTTGAGCGTTTTATGCAAAGAAAGATGCGCTCTGGTCTTTTTTTGTCCTGTTGTTAATCACACCTGCTTTCATGTGACTGAATTGTGTTACGCATGATAAAGTGCAACTAATGGCATCTGTGTGCTGTTGTGTGTATTAATCCCAGCCTAGTGTAGACCTCCGACCGGAGAAGGCCTGGTGAACGCCATGTTTTATTACACTGATTGGCCTTCCTACGGTTTATGCATATTTAAAATCTCCCTAAGCGACGTTAAATCAATGCAGACAAAATCACACCCTTGTTTTTATTTTAGAGCAACGTTTTGTGTTTTTCATTCCTGAGTGATTTAATTAAAATATCGGCAGCATAATCAAATTTGTTAACCTGTTCCCCTGGAGATGTGTACAAAATGAGCTGTAAAACACTTGATTGTCTGAAATTATTTATAAAAAGAGGATGTACGCTAGAGGTGTTTGTGAGGACATCTCTGTATTGTAAATCTTGCCCTTTTGATCTGTTCAACCACTGAGTTAAGTTTTTGAAACACTGTAAAGTAAGATTTTTATGAAGGGTGGGTAAAAAATAAAGTTTTTTTCTTTCTTACATACAGGGAACTCTGGTCTTTTTTTTTTGCATTTGCAGTTTGTGACTCCTGTTCGAACTTGTTTATCAAAATGAACAAATCTTTTTTCGTGTCATTTGGTTCATTCAACGAACGAAATGAACGAGTTGACTCGGGAAAAGATTCGTTCATTTTGATGAACGAGTTCGAACAGGAGAGTCATGAGAACAGAGCAAGGTGACCATGTGAGCTTATAAAACGTAAACTTTGTTATTTGTTTTTAAATGAGCGATCATTTCGCTTGATAAGACCCTTATTCATTGTCTGGAACCGTTTAAAGCCCTTTGAACAGTTTGCATTTTGCACTGAAACTGTCTTTTGGACCTTGAACCGTTTGGTTCCCAATGAAGTCCATTATATGGAGAAAAATGCTGGAATGTTTTCATCAAAAACCTTAATTTCTTTTCGACTGAAGAAAGAATGACATGGATATTTTGGATGACATGGGGGTGAGTAAATTATCAGCAAAAGTTTTTTTTTTTTTTTTAATTTTATGTCTTTAATAACTTTTCTGGGCCGGCAAGTTTCAATCCCTTAGAAGCCTATGGAGGAGTGATCCAGCTCTCAGATTTTAATCAAAAATATCTTCATTTGTGTTTTGAAGATGAACGAAGGTCTTACAGGGTTGGAACAACATGAGAGCGAGTAATTACTGACAGAATTTTCATTTTGGGGTGAACTATCCCTTTAACGGTTATACATAAGTTCAAGAATAGTGAGTTAACACATGCTGCAAACTTAAGGTAAATTCATTGAAAGTTTTTAATAATTAGTTTAGTCTTTAGTAGGCTGTATTGACTAAGTAAAAGGCCATTAATCATTTGGAAACGACATGTATAATTAGGCTTGTTTTTGCAATTATTTCTCTCACAAGTATGCGGTTGCATTTATACTTAAAGAAAGGGTGGATCATCATATTTTAAGTCTGAAAACCCCTAATGTAAGTATCTCAGTTCTTGCCATTTCTATAGTATTCCACAAGGGGGACTCATTCTCTTTCTATTTTATTTAGTGCTCACATGTGCAGGTGCTTATGAATGGATATTTTTGAAGAGACTCTTTACTGCTTTCTTGAAAGACTTGACGGTCTCTACAATGGATGACAAAAATGTATATTTCTTTACCTATTTGCTGTGCCTCAGAGACATCTGCAGTCAGTTCCTATGGGTTGAGCAGCGAGTGAAGAGAGAGAGAGAGAGACTCATTCATGGTGTTGTGGATTGATCCTGAATGAGCTGCTTTGTTTCCATACGGAAGTGCCAGGAAAGTGACCCCAGTGGCCTTCCGTCTGATATGTGGATTTTTGCATTCAGTCACAGTCTGATATTCTTATCCATTTTAGCAACACCAACCTGAGCTTGTATTGTGCTTTCAGACAGTGGATCTATAGAAATCGAATAAAAGAAGAATAAAAGGAAGCAAATATATAGGCTAAGCCTATACAAAATTCACAAACCTTAAAATGTACATTAAAAGAGGCCCCAATGTTTATGTTAACATTTCATTGTACCATTATAATATGTTTTGCTCTTTTAGCTACATGTGTACAGTTTGTGTTTGTAAGACGCATCAACAGCTTTTGACTGTTTGTGCATGATTTCAGGAATATATTGAGGACAGAAAGCATTAACAAATCAAACTCAAACAGGGGAATTGAATGGGAAACTGATTTACCCACCGATTCATATAATCTCCAACCAGGCTTTGCGGATTACAGCTGCTGTTTAACCCTCGAAATCCCATGCAGATAACAGTACTGGGGTATTGGTAGGCTACTGGATCAAGAATATTACTGGTCAGAATATATATATATATATATATATATATATATATAGTGCTTATTTTCTAACATAAAGGCTTTTGTTTATAATATACTGTATGTGCGTGTATATATATATATATGTGTGTGTGTTAGTTATGTGTGTATACATTAGCTGAGTAGGCTACTGCATATATATATATATATATATATATATATATATATATATATATATATATATTTGGGCTGTCACATGATTAATCGCATCGAAAATAAAAGTTTGTGTTTGCATAATATATGTGGGTGTACTGTGTATACTTATTTTGTATATAAAAATACACACATATGCATGTATATTTAAGAAAAAAATATTATTTATATATAAAATATTTATATTTATATATAATATAAATTATATATAAATCTATATACAGTATATACATGAAAATATTTCTTAAATATATATACAAGCATGTGTATATATATATAATAATTATACACAGTGCACCCACATATATTATGTAAACACAAACTTTTATTTTGGATGCGATTAATCGCGATTAATCGTTTGACAGCCGAGGGTGTAAAGGGTCACAGAACATTAGCCTACTGTAAATATGTTTGTGAATTTATATAGGCTATACGCTTTATTATTATTTTAAATATATATTATTTAAAGTTCTTTACTTTATTTACATACATTAAATTCATATAAATATAGAATAAAATGTTTTTTATTAACATCGCATATTTGATAGATGTGTTAGTGTTTCCTGTACTGAGGCACTGAACGGGTTAAAGCTGAATTGTGATTGGTTTGGTCGCTGTGTGTAGATCAAGGCAGGATAAAATAACTGTAACAGCCCTTGCAGATGGGGGACGTATAGAGGAGGCTGCTGTGTAAACACAGGGGTGTGTGTTGAAGAACAGGCGAGGATGATGATGATTTGGACATCAATGAGCAGAGGAAGACAGTCCTGCAGCTCAATGAAGGAGTGAAGATGCTCAGGAGATGCGCGTGAGATGATGCAGAGGGACGCACGTGGACGGGAGAGACTCCAGCATCGTCTCAGGTATTGAACGGTCCAGATGTTGTTGTGCTTGTGAGGGGTTTAACTGAATATCAGCATTGATCCGATGTTTGTTTCGCTGAGGAGATGCTGTGTTTGCATGCTGCACATGGTCTGCAGTGCAAAACAAACACATCTGAGGAGGAATTCCGCGACTGTTATGTACTTACTGTGATTTAGGCTAGGCTATGCACGAGCTGGGTGCACAAATGTAAAGCTTTATTTTTTGCGCGTGTTATTTCGGGGTCTGAATTTGTGAAACGACTATATGTTTTTATGCTGTAGCCTAGGCTATACACACTTGTATGCAGGCTGTAGCTATATACACGGTTGTTGCAATTTCTTCTATTTAATGGGTGTTCTGTTTTTATCTATTTTTTTCTTATATATAAATATTGATTTTGAAGCATTCTAATATAATGTTGTGTAAGATCTTATCAGAGATCTCAGAGTGCTTGGAGATGAGTCCTCGCCCCAGATTCACGCGCAGGATCAGGTACGGGGTCACACACACACGCGCAGCTCATCGCGTTAACTGTTGTGAAAAAAATGCATTGTATAATAATATAATTCACTATGTTAGTGTACTAGAGTGAAAGTGTAACTTGATGTATGCAGTGTTTGTACATTGAAACGCGTGGGAATGTTCAGTTGCTCTTGTGCGGAGACTTGGGCGTGTTCAAATTTCATCCGCACGCACTTTTCAGCGTTATTATGGCACACTGTAGCCTACTGATTTTCCTTAGAGCCTGGTTATCAAGCTTCTGCTAATAACTTTATCTTTATATATATATATATATATATATATATATACACACACACACACTCACACACTTATCTTAACTATTCTTTTGCTGCCTTGCATACACTGTTTGGCCCTGGAAATCTAATTTTAAGCACAATTCCCATCTCTGAGTCTTAAGTTACTCACTAAAACTGAAAGTGGACATACTTTGTTCACATTTGCAAGCATTTGCACATATTTGTTAAAAAATATCTGGAGGTTGTTTTGCTGGATCCATGCATCTCAATGATAGCCCAGTTGAACTTTATGAAACATGCAACTAGACCTCATGTTTCTCCTAGATATTTATCTACACTTTTATGATACGTCGGCAAACCCTCTGCCATATCATAAATATTTGGAGTCTCTCTCTGAGATCTGTAAAACACTGTCTTGTGAAAGCAATAATATCACTTAACGTCTAATACGTTATGACTCACTCCTCAGCTTGAGGAGCCACGGAGCCAAAATCTTAGCCCATTATATCCTCTTTACAGATCATAAGCGTAATCACAGGATTACGCTGAAGGGGAGAGAAAGAGCAGCTCTGAATGTGCAATCTGGGTTATGCCGCTGTAGGGGTGAAAAGGTCTCCCTGAATATAATTCTGCTAACCTATATTAAAAGGAGCGCTCACCACTAATCTATCTCTTTCTGGACTTATGAAAGGGTGTGTGTGGATTTGTGCAGTTGGCAAATCTATTATGTGGGCCAAACACGTGGGTGAGGTCTGGCAGTGGTCCGGAGGAACCTCTGCGTTTTTAGCTGTTAGGATTGGTGTATGTTTGGCTACCATAGGAAATCTAGAGCAGAGGATGTTGGAAACTTTGAAGGTGGATTTGCAAAAATGGGGCATTTATATTAGGCAATGTGGGATGTAAGAGGCCAGATGAGGATAGGAGAAGGACATGAATAGACTGGATTCTTATAGTCTCTGAAGAAAAAGTTGATGTTTGCCTGTGCAATTCTCTCAGGCGCAATGCTAACGTGTTCTGGGTGGTTGCCGGGGTGTTGCCATGCCCTTGATAGAGTGTTCTGGCCGGATTCTAGGGTGTTCTGGCACAATTCCCAGCATGCTGAAAAAATAATTTTGGTGTAGGGTTTACTTGAAAACAATTTTCACTTTTCAATTATTTTAATAAATTGAAATGTCAAATTTTGAAGTAATCACTGAAATAGGATTTTCTTGTAAAATATTCTCCAATAATCTTTCATTTTATCCACAACTTCAAAAAAGTTGCTGATACTTGTCTGTACAAATTTCACACCTGTACCAAGGCACGTTGCATAAACTTAGCCGTTATGTTAAGACTTTGTCTTAAGATCTAGTATGACCCATTAAGAGTTAGTCAAGGGACGGTTAGTCTTAC